TAAAATAGCGTCTCTCAACGTAAACGGGCTACGAGGCTGCGCTCAACGAAAAATGCCAAAAAGGCGTAAAATATTTACCTGGTTTAAACAGAAAGCAATAGATATTATTCTTCTTCAAGAAACGCATTCATCAGAATCAGACGCCCAGATGTGGTTAAATCAATGGGGAGGCAGTGGATATTTCGCTCATGGAGAGAAAAACAGCAGAGGCGTGGGAATACTAGCACGACCAAACTCTGGCATCGTTTTTAGCAATGTTTTTAGTGACGATAATGGTCGCTACATTATCCTCAACGCCGAATTCAATGGTGCTAGGATGACGATAGGGAACGTTTATGCGCCAAATCACGATAACCCAAGCATGCTAGAAGATTTTTGCGCAAAACTAAATGATTACGACGATAGCACGATTGTTGTAGGAGGTGACTTTAATTTCTGCTTCGACTTGGGAAAAGATAGACGAAGTTCAGCAAGGATTGTAGCAAATAATAATAGAAACAAAGAAGTCATCCTAAGCCTGATGTCTGAAAAGAACTTAATCGATATTTGGCGTGAAATCAATCCAGTAAAGGAGGAGTACACCTTTATCCGAAATAACCCGACTAGTAGATCACGCATAGATTTTTTCCTCGTGAGCGAAACTTTAATGTACAGTGAAAAGAGGCCAAGCGCAAAGATTGTAGACGGATACCTAACAGATCACAAGTTAATTACTTTGTCGATAAATATTTCCAATGTTGACATAGGAAAAGGATATTGGAAATTTAATAATGATCTTTTGAAAGACGATCAATTTGTATCATTGATCCAAAACAGAATACCTGAAGTAATTAGTTCAAACGAACAAAGTGCCTCCTCCAGTACAATATTGCTGGAGACGACGCTTTGTGTTGTAAGGGGAGAAATCATAAAGTACGTTGCAACCAAGAAACGAATTTGTTTGAACGAACTCAAAGAAATTGAAATGAAAATAAACGAAAAGCAAGGTGATAATGCGTTGAATGGCGAGTGTGACGAACTGCGAAGGAAGAGAGATGAAATTATTTCTGATCAAACAGAAAAAGGAATATTTTGGAATAAAGTGCGCTGGAGGGCATTCGCAGAGAAGGGTTCAAAATATTTCCACGGCATAACTAAGCGAAATTTCCCCAAAAACATTACGAGAGAAATGTATATAAATGAGGGCAACCAGAGTACCATTACTAACAAAACCGAGGAAATGTTGGAGGAAGGAAAAAGGTACTTCGAAACGCTATTTGAACGCCGTATTGGGAATGAGTCACGAATTGACTTTACAGAAGGGTTAAGTCAAGTAACACAACATGATAGACAAACATGCGATGCAGACATTACGATGGAAGAGCTGACCCGAACAGTTTTTTCATTAAAAAATAATACCTCTCCTGGGCCATCAGGATACACTGGAGAATTTTACAAAGTATTTTGGTCAGAGCTGAAAACATTAGTATTCGCTACATGTAAAGAAATTTTTAGTTCCGGAGTAATGCCGTCAAATCTTAAGAAGAGTGTCACAGTTTTGATACCCAAAAAGAACAAAGATCCAAGAAGAATCGAAAACTTAAGGCCTATTAGTCTCCTGAATACATTTTACAAAATCATAACAAAGTTGCTAGCCACAAGACTAGCGAATGCTGCACCGAACATAATAAATGTAGATCAGACTGGATTCCTGAAAGGGAGATACATAGGTGAAAACATTCGATTAATACTTGACGTCATGCAGGCATGTAAAAACAAAAATATTCCTGCAATCCTACTAGCATGTGACCAAGAAAAGGCTTACGATAGCGTTGATTGGTCTTACATGAAAAAGACATTGAAACGATTTGGGTTTGGAAGAGACTTTTGTAGATGGATTGATATTATTTACAATGGTGGGCAGGATACATCATGTCAGGCAAATGTGCAAATAAACGGTAAATTGTCAAGCCCGTATAAAATTGAGCGAGGCCTTAGACAGGGATGCCCTTTGAGTTGTCTCTTATTTATCATATGCTTTGAACCACTTCTAGAGAGAATTCGTAAAGAAAATGCAATTAAAGGACTGACAATTAACGGAGCAAATGTTAAAGTATCTAGCTACGCTGACGACTTAACGATTATCATGGATGGATCTGAGCTATCTCTAAATAAATGTATGGATACCTTTGAGGACTTCGAAACAGCATCTGGGCTGAAATTGAACCGGCATAAGTCACAAGCTCTATGGTTGGGTAGGAACGGGCATTTAAGAAAGCCGATTTGCACGCAATTTAATATCCAGTGGCCAACGACACCCATTAATGTATTGGGCGTGAAGGTATCTAACAACCCGAATATTAACATTTCAGAAATAAATTATAATGAGAAATTTGTCATAATGAAGGATAAACTAGCGCCATGGATAGGTCGCGGTCTTACTCCATACGGGCGCGTTCACCTTTTGAAAACCGAATTGATATCTCAGCTGGTGTATGTTATGACAGTGCTTCCAGCTCCTCCAAAACCATTTATAAAAGAAGTAGAAAAGCTCATGTTCAAATTCATATGGGGCGGAAAGAAAGATAAAGTCAAACGTATGACATTAAAAAGTAAATATAAAGGTGGCGGCCTAAAGGTGCCAGACTTAGCACTTCAGGCACAGAGTTTAAAGGTTACCTGGATAAAAAGACTCCTAGATAAAAGCCACGATGCTAAGTGGAAGGGCCTGGTGACCCCAATGCTTTTTCTAAATGACGACATAACGCTGTTTCACTGCAATACAAATGCAAAGTACATAAAAAACACGGTGAAGAATACTTTTTGGGAGGAAACGTGCATTGCATGGAATAACATTAACGGAGCTAATCTTAGTGCCACAGATCAATTGCAAAATAGCATATTATGGGCGAACAAAGATTTGAACATAGAAAGCAATGCCAATATCAACAGGAAACATTTAATAGAAAAAGGTATCATTAGACTAGCAGATATATGTAACTTACGAAAGAAAGAATTAATGACAGTTAATGAAATTTCACAAAAATTTGGTGTGCACCCAATGGTTTCAGCGGCAATAAAAAACGCAGTGCCAACCGCTTGGAGCAATAAAATACGAAACCTTCAGAGAAGTGTCAATGCAACATCTATAGAACAGTTGCAAAATTCATCTAAACCAGCAAGATGGGCATACTCCAAGTTATTAGAACAAGTATTAGATACTACTCGGGGTGAAAAATCGCACACAAAGTGGGAAGCAGAGCTTGAAGGTGGAAGGCGGCTGAATTGGCCTGCTATTTACGCACGATTGCATTACGCTGTTGAAGATGTTAATCTAAAATGGTTGAATTACAGATGCATAAAAAGAATTTTACCAACAAACAAACTTCTTTTTACTTGTAACATCAAAGATACGGATCGATGTACGTACTGTCACCAGGTGGAAACAATTGGACATTTATTCTGGCATTGCCACCGAGTAAGGGCTTTTTGGAGCAGTATTGGTGAGTTATTTAACGAGCGCAATATTACATACAAAGTCGTAGTCACCGGTTTTGAGCACAACGATTCCGCGGTCTGCAAGCGCATCAATACTATTCTTTCATTGGGAAAACAGTTTATATGGTATAAGAGGGAATGCAATAGTCACTTATCTGAGCCCACATTCGTCACTTACCTGTACAACTATCTTAAAGTAGAAAGGTATGCTTATAAAATAAATGATCGAGAAACGAAATTCAACGATACCTGGGGCTCGCTGTTTTGCGCTTTAGCGGAGCGTGTAGAAAGGTAACCGCCTTAGAATATGAAACAAGCACTTTGTGACTAATTATTGTTGTGTGTCACGATGTTTGCGTAGTGCAACATGATGTGTACAGTTTTTTTTTCTACGATGGGAAGGGGGAAGGGGCAAATGTCAGGTGTCGATGATACACAATGTTAAAATGACTGTCCCTTGTATGTATGCATATGGTGTTTGTTATATAAAGTGTTAGTGGAAAACGATGTGCGCGCTACAAGCCCCCGCCCCCATGACCCATCCGGGCCAACCCGGGACTGGCCCCTCCTGTGAGGGGCCGGTCGGCCGGCCGGGCGTGCGGAGCGCCGACCTAGACGGGTCGACGCTTCGCTCGCCCGGTCGGTGGCTAGGGGGCACCGCCCGGGGCTGCTTGCCGGGCGGTGCGGGCGGGGGCTGGCGGCCCGCCTGGAGCGCCGGGGAGGTAGCCATCAGATCTCCCCGGCTGGGGAGGTATCCCACAGCTCTCCCCGGGGCCGGGACGGCATATGTCACGGATTGACACCGTCCCGGCCTGGCCAGGCGGGTCGCCGATGGGAGCACAAAAATGTTTTATGCTTATTTTTGTTTGTGTTTTATGTGAATTGTGTTAATAAAATGTATGAAAAAAAAAAAAAAAAAAAAACATAGCGCCCAACAAATTTTGCCAGTTATAATCCCTGTAGACCTATGGCCAATGGCCATAGCATGAGCCACCGACATAATTTAGCTGACAAAATGTCTGCTAACATTTCAGAAGGGATGGGGAGAAGCTAGTTAGTCCGCAACGGAAAACGCGCCACGCAACGCTGAAGCCCGCGAGTGACGATGTGTTATTATGAGTCTAATATATAGAGCGCAGGAGCGACTCGTGCCCGGGCCCTCGCTACCGCGGCCAGTCCAACGCTCATCCAACTGATCTACCGGACAGGCATGCCGATAAGTGTTACAGTACCACGAGCCAATATCCGCCGTGACGTGTTGCACAACCCAGAGTCCCCACCGGCTGTTGCAACCAAGCCCGCGTACCCGTACAGTTGACAACCGCTCTGCTGTGGCGTGCTACACGTCTGTACGGCTCATATACCAGCGCGCTGTGGAAGTCTGCCACCCGGTGTAACTTCCCCATTCTCCCCGCCCCGTTATTTGGAGACACGCCGTGTCTTGCCTTCGTGTGGCAGAGCGACCCCCGCCAGCAGTCCCCTCTCTCCCTTACCCCAGTCCCACCCTGTCAGACACTGCGGGCTCCACGGCGGGTGGTGTATTGGTTCGTAACGGTCTGACACGGTGATCACTTGCCCTTGGCGGCCTTCTTGGCTGCCGCCTTTCCGGCGATCTCCTGATCCTCGGCCGCCTCCTTGGCGCGCTTGGCACGGAGACCCCACATGCGCGCTGTGGCGCGACTCTGGAACACGAGACACCGGCCCGGTCAGCCACGGTCGGCGGGAGGGAGCGGACAGCGGTAGAGAGGGGCGAACAGATAGAACAACCAGACATTACTGACTGTGAGGGCGGTAAGCAGCGGGCGAGCCAAAACAGGCACGACACGGGAAGGCTGTATCAGTTTTAAAGGGACTATCCCACCTTCTAAAATGTTGTTAAAACCAGTTAAATTGTGCCCAACTTTATAGATTGGATGACCAGGAACACGGTTCTGGCATTTATTTTTCATTAAACATCTTAGGCTTCCCATATTCCAAACACAAACTTTCAAATATGTGACGTCACAGCCCAAATTTACCTCCTTCCCCAGGCCACATTACTGCCATAAAGCTGATTCTTTTTACTCTGTAGGCACCACAACAAAGTTCAGACCAAGTTTTAAGCGATTTTTCAACGAACAAACCCATTTAAATCAGAATGACTAAACGAGGTGACGTCACACTAACGGTCGCTCCATGTTGAAGATAGGGCCTTGCACAAGGCCCATTTTCAAATGAAGGAAACGAATTTCTTCAACACCAAGAGGCCGCGGGGGTTGCAACCTAGATAGATAGTGGTTTCTGAACCTCGCCGCAAACTTGGCTATCTCAACTCAAACCCCATGTTAAAGATGGGATAGTCCCTTTAACCCAGCTTCAAACACGAACAGAATTATAAAACATCGGTAATAATACGTTCCACGGAGATGTAAATGCATCCCCCTCCCGGAAAAAAGAAACATAAAAATGTTACTATATATTAATCCGCGAGTAGGTAGAACAAATCTTTTAAACGTCGAGCCGATAGGCGAGACGTTTAAAAGATTTTCCTACCTACGAGCGGTTTAATAATTTTATCCCGTACCGCCGGTATCTTTCGGGAGCTTAAAGGTAAAAAATACATTTTATACAAAAATACGACATATTTCAGCAGAGCCAGAGACAACGAGAAGCAGAGACGGATGAAGCTTTGAAAAACGGTCCAAACAATGTGATCAGTCTGAAATTGACAGGTACATTGAAGATGAAGTCCAAAATAGAACTAAAAAGGAAAAGGAAAATGATGTTTAATTGCGTTTCCCTGCACATGGGGGAGAGTGGGGTAAGATGCCCAGGGTGGGTAAGACGCCCCACCCCCTCTAGCGGCGAAACAAAGAATCGAGCCCGGAAATTAATGTTCTTAGCGTAAAGCGGATTAAGCCTGCCTTGTTAACTGCACAAAAATTTCCGAAGCTCAGTTGGGCAACAGCTGGATGGTGAGTGCATGTTTTTTTATTTGATGCTTTCAAAAAATATTTTGGTGTCAAAACATTGTAAATATCAAAGAAGGTAGATAATTTTTGCGTCCCTTGCCATAGTCGTGATACATTAACATGCGTGTACTGTGTCCAAACAGTTTGTTTCAGGGTGTAGTTTTATGGCTAACAAATTGTACTGATTTAACGTTACCTCGGCACCTTGGGGTAAGATGCCCCCTGTCCTGATGGGGAAAGACGCCCCCCTAAATCCGTAGGCTGTCCTTCAAGCAGCCCGTCAAATAATTTATTACATGCTTGTGATGAGAGACAAAAGCCGATCTGGGACTATTGAGAGTCCAGCACGGTCGGGTGCTCCCCATGCCGGTCTCTCGGCCCACACAGCGACTTTTTGGGCGGCATCTGACTCTGAGAGCCCTCACGACGGCCTCTGTGGGCCCGATTATTGGCTCCAGGGCCCCTCACGACATCCTTTGAGGGCTCCCACGTTGGCTCCACGGGTCGCGCTGGCATCTGAGGTCCCCACGATGGGCTCGAGGGCCCTCAAGCATCATGAAGACCTATAAAGGCCCCACAGTGGTCTCCGAACGCCACCACGGAGGCTTGTTTGGCCGCGCTGGACTATGATGGCCCTAACAATGACCTCTGAAGCCCCTTACGACCACTTTTGAGGGCCCTTACGATGACGTTTGGTGTCTACTGCAGGCTCGAAGGGACTACTGATTCGTTCAGGCGATTCACGTGCCCATTTATGTCACTTATAGTGCAGGGGGCATCTTCCCCAACGCCAGGGGGCGTATTTCCCACCCTGTGGGGTAAGATGCCCCCTTTCACTTCTTCAAGAAAATGCTTAATAGCAAAAAATGTTATCATATTTCAGGCACGATAGTGTGATATTTTTGGAGAAAAATGATGTCGGCTTCCGTTGAAACTCCAAGTTTTTGCTTTGCGATCGTCATTTTCGAATTATATTTGACATAGTAAAACCCTGGGCATCTTTCCCCACTCTCCCCTACTGGTAAAAATAACGAGACGGTTAAATGGCAGAAATGTCTACTAGACGTTTAACAGTTTGTTAATCGTCACTAGACATTTAACAAATCAGTTAAACGACATCTGATAATTTTCTCTCTTTGCACGTGGAGCAATTGTACACTGTCTACGGTGCGAGATAGTATTTGAATAACACAATATCGATCAGATTCTGGGCAACTAAATTGGTCTAGTGTCATATAAATTAACCATCCATCCAAAACAAATAATACATCTGGCAAAAAAAAAGACAACTAGACCGCAGCCGTTCACCGAGTGTAATATCCGTTGCCCAGCCCCCATACCAGCTGACCACCGCCGACATCCCGTCACTCACCCTGCGGAGGGTGTTGAAGGCCTGGAACTTCTGGTCGTCCTCGGTGATGGCCCGCGAGGTGACGCGCAGCTTGCCGGAGCGCCGCGACGGCAGCGGCATCAGCTTGCCCTTCAGCTGACTGGCCAGCTTCAGCTCCTCCTCCTGCAGACAAGATGCGCAACAGACTGTCAGATCGCAGGTGTTTGAATGGACTTTGGGTGAGCCGACTACTGAGTTCATCTTCCCCCAATTCAGACGGCAAGCATCGGACGTGCGCTTAAGACTTGATAACGAGTGCGCAAACATTGTAACAGTAACAGCCACGATAAATTTTGACGTCTGAATATAATCCTGCAGAGATCCATAATTGGCACTCGGCCATAAAGTTGCACGTGTGCATATGGCCGGTGGCACAAGTTGCACGTGTGCCACCATTATGCAAACAGCACGAGGAAAGTAACGCATTCAAATCTGCTTTTAAAACGGCTTACTGTCAAGAACAAGGGCATCAAACGATCTCGAGGTAACTACGTCGATTGCAAATCCACTACTGTGGACGTCAAACCGCGTGGGACGCGACTTTTTCGCAATAACTTTTGAATACGTTGCCTCTCAAGAACGAAACTTCGGCAATGGACGTTTCAGACCCCGGCCTAATTTTTATTACAAAGGTTTTTCAATGTCCGATCAATATTTAGGGCACTTCCCGTTCACTCGTAATGCTAAGTGAAATATCAGCCCGGATGGCGGCTATCGTCAGGCTGCTCGCGAAGCCCCGCCTACCAACTACGAATTCCCTGCCATCTACCGTTCAGACACGACTGCCATCTGTCGGTCGATCCTCACTCAGAACCGGTTCTGCATGCTGTGTGCGTCGGGTCTCAGATGGGCGGACATCTCGAAACCGAGATTGTTCAGTATGGCCTTTTACCAGGTTTTTTAATCCGAGAAAAAACCGAGATTGTTCAGTATGGCCCTTTACCAAATTAACTATACGAATTATTGACTTAGCAGCAGGGATGCAGAGCCTTGAAAATTTGAGTCAGCTCCAGCTCCGGCTCCGGCTCCGAGTAAAATGGCTATACGGCTCCGGCTCCGGCTCCCACTCAGGGCAAAATATGACGGCTCCGGCGGATCCGGCTCCCCACCGGCTATGCGTACCGGTGCATTATGGAAACATTTAAGTTGGGGCATATTGGGGCTTGGCAGGATAACACGAAGTGTACTAACGTTCCTGGCGGTTTGATATCTACAAGAACCTAAAATTAAAATTTTAATTAAAAAAATTAACTTGACTGTGTAAATATATTATATTATTATGTATCTCGTATTTCGTATTATTATGTATCGTATTCAGCCCGTATTTTTTGTTTAATAAACTTGGTTATGATGATGATGATGATGATCTCATTTACGTAGGTAATTACGTTGACAAACTTATTAAATAATCATTTAATTATTTTCTGTTATTCTTAAATCATCGTAATATTTGGCGTACGCGTATATTCTTCATATCTGGGTGACATTCTAAGCGAGTCGAGAAAATATTTCATTGATAGAAGTGCGAACAGTCAACACAAGCATGAATAACGTACGCCATGCGGCTGGGTGTGTTGGCAGGAAGCACCGCGTACCAACCCCTACGGACCGCGACTGACCGGTCTCGGGTCAGGTAGCGCCTCAGGCAACGGCCAGCCGAGGCGGAGCTTAGCTCCAACGTCACACTATGGCTCCGCCCCTTGTGGAGTAGCCTCTGCTCACCGAGAGAGTTTCAGGAGCAAAATTTAACATTACGAGTGAACGGGAAGTGCCCTAAATATTGATCGGACATTGAAAAACCTTAGTAATAAAAATTAGGCCGGGGTCTGAAACGTCCATTGCCGAAGTTTCGTTCTTGAGAGGCAACGCATTCAAAAGTTATTGCGAAAAAGTCGCGTCCCACGCAGTTTGACGTCCACAGTAGGTAATAAGTAGGATAAGACGACAGAGAAACAAACGGAAACATACCGACTCAAGGGTAAATAAAGAAAAAGAATAACGCGGAAGCATACATACCAGCAATAAAGCAAGGCTGTTAGCCAAAGGAAAGGAAAATATCTTGATGTGATAAAAACGCCTAACACCTCAATTGCAGCAGTATGATACTGCGTGTACTCGCCACTCACCGAGCTGTCTCCCTTCTTGGGCTTGTTGGCCGTCTTGGGGAAGAGGATCAGCTTGCTCTTGTACTCCTTGAGCCGGCGCACGTTGCCCTGCATGGCCTCGACCGACTTGTTGCGGCGTCGGTGGTCCACTGTGATGCCGATGGTCGGCGCCAGCCTCTTGGGGATACCGGCGGCCTGTCGGCGAGAGGTACACGTGAATCCGGGCACAAATAAATCACACCGCGTCGTGACAGTATCTCGACTAAATCTTACCAGCATTGATATGATCTGTGTTAATGGTGCAGAATTAATTAATGTTGATCTGTGTCTTGAGGGTGAATGTTCAGTGCATGCTTAACAGTTAATGGAAATCTAAAAAAAAAAACGAAATTAGCTATAGCATGCACACAATCAGCCGAGGTTGCCCTGTTAGGTGATTTGGGGGTTGTGTTGATGATGTTTTAGGGGTTAAGGACACCTGTCCTGGACTGCAGTGGTCATTGGTGCGCATTCAATAGGAGCAACTGGAGAACACCTCGCCATAAAGTTATGACATGGTATCACTGGTGCCGTCTCAAGCCAGCACTGCTCTCTTTAGCCAAAAACAAAGTGCAAAAACTGTTATAAGATACCTCACATTTTTTAATATAATAAGTGACTCTTGAGAACTAAGCAAGCTGGAGCAGCATCTGCCTAATTAATATCAATGGCCTGTAAAAGCACAATACTCTGGCTTGCTAGCAAACTTACAAAACTCAAGTCAATGTTCAAAGAAAATAAAACTGACAATATTTGACAAAACACCTGTCCCCATGCCAAAAATACAATAGCTGTGAAAACTGGTATGCATACATCATACAATCTCAATAAACAAACTTATCACAAATAGCAATCAAATACAACACATCCCTCTACCTAACCTTGTCACTTAACCATATCTAACACTTGACTAACAATAACAACGAGCACCTTGACCTACACAATCTCAGTACTGTCTGTGTGGTCATTTCCCTCTTTTGCACTCTTTAAAAACTGAAGAAATTAAAAAAAAATCATGAAAAGAAAGAACACATCCTTCTAAGGTACCTAGAAAAGATCACATATATATATTTATGATACTTTTTACACAAAACATTTATAAGTTACACCCAACCGCTCGTTGAGTCAGATAGGGTTATGTGGTATGTAAGTAGATTTAGGTTGGAGGTTAGGTTGTAGGGAAGGTTGTAGGTTGGGTATTAGTAGAGCAGATGTCACAAGAAGGTTTTACAACCAAGGAGAGGCGCTATGCCTGGAGGTACTTCTTTCTAACAAAACCTAAACAAACCTAACCTAACCTGACCTAACCTACAACATACAACCTATAAACCTACAACCTAAAAAACTACAACCTACAACCTACAAACCTACCCTACAACCTACAAACGTACAGCGCCTCTCCTTGGTTGGAAAACCTTCATGTGGCATCTGCTCTACCAATGCCGGTAGGTTGTAGGTTATGTTGTAGGTTGGTAGGTTAGTAGGTAAGGTTAGGTTAGGTTAGGTTAGATAAGGTTTTTATTTCGGCTTGTATTGTATCTATATTTAGCATTGAATAAATGTATGAACAATTTTCTAGGTTGATACATGGTTTGTGACAATATGGTATGGTTTTTATTCAATTTTGAGCCCAGGGTGCAAGAGAGATTTGACTGTCTGTGTGCATCATCCTCTAAAGGCTAGTTTGCCGCACTTTTCACAAGCATTTATAAGGTTTTCTTTCCTTTTACTCTTATTCTACAAATCCATTCACGCAAATCTCATTGCACAATGCACATCAATGAGCAATCATAAAAATAATAACATTGAGGCTATGGTACAATATTTGTCTTAATAATTTCAGCTTAACAATTATGGTGTAAGTCAAGTGAAAAAAATTTATCACATAAACAAACATACCTTCAGCTCCTCCAGAGTGAACCCACGGCCAGTCCTCTGCTTGGTGTTGTAGCGGAATGTGGGGCAGCGAACTACAGGCTTCAGCTTGTTGGCAGGCCTGGGGGCCATTTTCCTGGCCTTCTCGACACGCTTCTCATGCCTCCTGATTTTCCGGGCAGGCTGATTGAACCAGCACTTCACGTGCTCCTGCCACTTCTTGTGGAAGTGCCCGTTTGGCACCACGTTATTCCTTTTGGGCGCCATGGTGACACTGTAAGATAGAAAAGAACAGCGAGCCGCAATGAAACTATTCAACCTGGCTAATAAATCACTCTGAAACCACACAAAGAGCACCTAACAACACAAATTACGGAAATATGTCCAAAATGTAACCACACTCACCCGTAAACACACGAGAAAGGAAGACAGGGTTGCCATTTGCAGAAAACATCACTCAAGAATCTCTTTAAGAATATTTCCGTAGTTAGCCGGTAAATTACTTGAATTTTACGTTTTATATATTTTGTATGAATCAAAAATAAATCATAGAATTTTTAATTAAAATTTTTTCATAATGATCAATAGTAGACCACTAAATTAAAATGTATATTATGGCATTCATTCCTTCGCTTTACAGCATCAGATTCAGGACACAGGAAGATGAAGATGAGTATTTTTTCCCAGGGACTTGATCCCCATACCGGTGCCTTATCTTCAAAAATTGCCCTAGGGTGCGGCCGAATACCCCTTCTTCCAGCCCTCGTGATTATTCCTGCTCAACATAGGCGGCGGAACGAGGAGGGCACCGGGGCACCGTGCCCCCTTTGATTTTGGCATTGGCATTTTAACATTAGCTCTATGGGCGTTGCATGGAAAGAATGGGACCAAAAGTCGGCAGTGCCCCGCCGCTTCTGCTGCTCAATGGCGGTTCGTATTTCGTAGCCCGGCAATGACAAAGACTATGTAGCCTGGAGCTATAGCCTATAGCCCCAGGATAAGCGTACAAGTCTCTGTAGTCTGTGCACTGTCCCAGCCAGCAATTTGGCTTGGCTCAATCAAGTCCATGGCATTTTGCCCCAGCGACTCATACATACCAGATTTGGGCCCGGAACGCCATCGGAACAGGGGTTTGGGTCGATATGGCTCCATTCCGTTGAGCCAGTATGTAAAGTCTTTGCCGTAGCGCTCCAGAGTTGGTAGTGGTTTCGGCCACCGCCAAGTCCGACTCCCTGCCAAGTGCCATGGCATGCTACGGCCATGTCCGGCTGCCTCGCCTAGCAGCTCTGGCTTAGTTTGGCTGAAGTACGGTTGAGGTACGGCACGGCTGAGGGATAAGTCCGGCTGTGGTGCGCGCGAGCTCCGGGATATCGTGTGTCAGCCCGAGTAGAGCTCCAGACCTTGCCCGTACTTCGGCCGGAGCAAGAGCGTCGGAGCCAGGCCCAGCCAGAGTAAAACCATTTACGGCCCAGACCAATTTTGCTGGCTGAAGTAATCACGCCCCTTTTCACGGGTGATCGTTTCACTGCTCTGCTGCGGCGTCGGTGTGCGGGCGGTGTTCCACAGTAAGCCCGGTGTCCGGCGGTCCGTTGACTGCTGATAAGCCTCTGGTTCCGTATCATTGGCGAATCACGAAAGGTAGGACTGCCGACCGGTGCTCGCGCGCCAACCGCCCGGGCTGGGGTGGGGGGCTGTGTTTGAACAACCGGGGAAAAAACATCCCCGGCCAGGCGAGGGTTAAAAAGAGAAAGCTCATCGTATTTCACTACAGGGGCATTCCACGTCAAATCGAACAAAAATCGGCTGTTTTGCACCTTACCATAAGCGATTTTATTATAAATTTGTGAGCGAGTTCCTGTGTCGCCCCGAACATTACATTGATGTTTTTTGCACATTCTGACCACAGGTCTTCTAAATATAGGGCATCGAATTTTTACAAAATGTTGCATCTTTATATTTTTGAACGACCATAACTTTGGTTGTACCTGTTTGATTTGAATGAAATAAACCTTACTGTTTAGGTAATTTCTTAAGCAGTTGTTTAGAATTGCACATACTTAAATATATGACCTTGAAATTTGCTTAACTCTGTTCTTAAGCACAAAAATTGAAATAGCAAAAAACACGTCACATTCGATTTGGCTGATTTTCATATATTTTATTGCCTACCATATTCTTAACAACCTGTGAAAAAATTAGAGTGGGCCATTCATAAGTTTTGAAGAAAATGGCACATATGCAAACGTATGTTTGCACGCGCAGTGGAGGGAGAAGAGTGAATTTCGCCCCAACCCTCCTGTTTTTCGCCAATATCTCATAGTAGTAATGCGAAATTAATTATAGCTACCTGTCCAAAATTGAATTGCACATCTCATCGTGCAAGCAAGAAGAAAATCGGTTCACAACTGGTCTAGTAATAGCGGTGTAAAGTGAACATCCTGTCGCCGCGGCGACGCGGCGACTCGGCAGCCGGCGCCGACCGCTAGCCGCCGCCTGAATTGTAGACTGTGCCGGGACGGAACGGAACGGTTCCGTCTTTACATCGCGCTCCTTACCGCTGATTACGTTCGATTCGCGTCAAATTTTGTGAGAAGACTAAGAAATGTATAGACAATCTTATGGTGTAAGAATTTTGAAAATCGGTTGGTAAACAATTGAAATATGAACGTGTAAACACAAAATTGTGATTGTTGCGTTTCCCGCGTCGGCCGATCCCGCCTCAGCCGGCGACATGTTACTCTTAGCAGGTCTCTAACTGCCATATTTATTATTGGATTAACTAGAAATTCCCCTTACATACTCAAAAATGTATTTTCTTTCGTATAGTGGATAAAAAGACGTAAAGATATCGTTGCGTGATAATGTTTTCGTTGAATTTTTGGCTTCATGATGCGTTTCCACACGGCTCAAAATTCACCGCAAAATACCGTTTGCCTGAGACACTTTTACTATGGAACTTGAATGCTTGACTACGATGACTATGTATTTCCATCCTCGCAGAGTTTGGGATATCACTTATCAGCAATCATTCATTTCAGAAAGTGTACACAAGCAATCAGGTCTTGACTCTGTCTTTCAAGGTCACGCGCGGTTGCGTGATGTTGATGCCTGAAAACGGGATTTGCCGCGAAAGTTATGAATGGCCCACTCCAATTTTTTCACAGATGGTTAGGAACATTGTGACGGACATAATATGTAAAAATTACCCGAATCGAAGGTGACGTGTTTTTTGCTATTTAAATTTTTCTGTTTTAATTCAAGGTCAAATGCATTTCAAGGTCACTTCAATTTAATTTCATAATTAAAAATCAAAGCCTTATCAATTGCCTACAAGACCCTGTTAATATCATTTTGATACCAGAAAAGGAACCAGAGTTATAGACATTTAAAAAATTGATGTGTGGCATTTTTGGCTATATTTGATGACCTATATCTCAGCGATACTTAATCAAATTTCGAAAATATTATACGTAACTCAGTTTTGAACCATGCCCAGTCTGCCTACAAATTTTCAGAAAAATCGAAGGGGATGACGGATTTCGGTGTTTGATTTGACGTGGAATGCCCCTACATGCTCATGAACGAGTTTCTGTGCCGTTGGAAGAAAGCGCCTCCCCTTGGATCAGCAAGTGCGATGCCTACGATGCCTACCCGCCCCGCCCAAAGCTCGAATATCCGGTCCAATATCCTTCGCCAATCACCGGTACAAAGCTCCGGTCCAGTCCTATCCGGCGCCCCGCTGAGAGGTATGTACTAAACTGCTCCGATCCGTTCCCCGTTCCAGTGCTTTGCCTTTGTTGTGTGTGTAGGTAGCCCTACCCGGTGTCCGGTGCTCGGTCCGGTCCGATGCCCCACTCAGTATCCAAGTGCCCCGGTCTGATACCCAGCCCAATGTTCCGGTATAATGTCCCGCCCGGTGGCCAGCGCTCTATCCTGATCCCCTACCCAGTGCTCCGGTGTTCACTGTCCTGGACCACCAGTGTTCCATGGGCTCCACCACCGGGGGGGGGGACGGGGGGACCTGTCCCCCGAATATTTTACATTTTTAACATTATGCCTATGGGTGCTGCATGGAAAAAATCGACTTCAAACGGCCTTCGTCCGCCTCAGCCATCGGGTAGTGACGGAGCCCCTGCAGTGTTCCAGTACCGGTACCCTGCCCGGTGCCTTATTGTGTCCAGTACCAGCCGCTCATGATCGATGTCTCTCGGCCCACCCCAATGTTCGGTGACTAAACAAACGTGTCTTTCGGTTGACCCGAGTATAAATATTTCACTACCTTTCTGACGTAATCAGCAGCAGACTGTATCAGTGTGAGCCGCATATCGCAAAAATTACATTCTCCGCCCACAAACCCTCTCAAGCGAAACATGACAGACTAAGCACGTATTTATTTCAAAGTCAGATACGGTACTATACAAGTTACGGCGTGACTATACAAGTTAAAACGGTGACTAAAAGCTCCGCGGAAGACTACTGACGATTGACAATGATTATGAAGCTGCTGGTCTCATTTCCGCGGCAGTAGTTTGTTCTGCAACAGAGAACATGACGTCACACACGGGCCAGTAGGGTTGGTGCGTGGCGCAGGGGCGGTACAGCTAACACAGCTTGTGGCACGGAACACAGTGGGTGGCTGGTGGGGGTTATGTTTGTTGTTTGTTTATTGGGTTTTAAGGGCGCAGTGGGAAGGGTTAGCCCGCAGGACAGCCGGGTCTACGACGCATGAAACACAAGGCACATTACACGTCAAAAACCGCCGTGACAGAGCAGGTAATGAGCACGACTTATCTTAACCCTCGCCCGTAAACGGCGATCTGCCACCTTCGCCCATGCAGGGGGGGGGGGTTGGTGCGACCCCCCCCCCTTGGCGTTTGAAAACGGAGCGTCGTAGAGCTTAGCGGAAAAGACCAACGGATTGCTCTCGCCGAGATCTCGCGATTGGTGGTATATTTTTTGGTCCTAGGTCAACATTTGACCTACTTTTGACCGGTCAAAGGTCAAATTTTCGGAAAAATAGACTTTTTTTCAACTTTCGGCGGCGATTGCGGCAAAACGGTGGGAGATATCGACTTGAAACCTTCACTATCGTGTTCCTTGATCAATTCTCTATCGTTTGGTATGTATTTCGTTTCCCTAGCTCTAAAAATGGCGCGTTGGGAGCGCCGGAAGTCGGCAAGGTCACAGTCGGCGGCAGAAATTCGAAAAATCAAAATTTAAATTTTTGAAATCTGATTGTATTTTTGGATTTGGGAGGTCCATTTGCTCCCTATAGAAGCTAATATTGCTGCATATTCCCATTGAGGTGACAAGAATTAGCAAAATAGTGGTTCGGGCGCTTTTCAAAAATAGTACCGGACGCTGTTCCTCTTGTGACGTCATAGCTCCGTTACCTGACCTGACCCGGTCAAGTTTCTTATACCATATGATAGCCAATACTTGCCCCAACAAGCATGGGAAGTTTCATCGCGATCCATCAACCGATGTCCGTACCACCGGCAGGAAACCTCGGGCGTTGGCACTCAGTTTGTGAAAATCCGGCCGGAGGCTGTTCCCTTTGTGACGTCATAACTCCGTGACCTGACATGACCCGGTCAAATTTTTTTTTTTATCAAAAGATGCGCAAGGTTTGCCCCATAAGGTACCCCAAATTTGGCGGCGCTGCGCGCCGCCGTTTTTGCACTATTTCCGAAAAACCTCAGGGGGGGTTGCACCAACCCCCCCCTACATGGGCGAGGGTTAAAGGGACCCTCCCACCTTCAAAAAAGTTAATGAATTGGCGTGAAAGTGATGTCGCTCGGTTCAGAAAGAGCGAAAACGAATATCTACCAAATTTCACCGAAAAATATTCACCGGTTTTCAAGATATTAGACTTTTACTTTTGTTTACTTTTTGGGATCTCCGCTGTTCCTAGCGAGTTGATTTGGAAGCAATGAAGTTTGGCAGCTGAAAGTGCGGCACTTGTTGCGCGCAAAGCAACATATACCGCGTGCTACCAAACGTTTTAGTAAAAGATTCAAAATGGTTAGATCTGTGCTGACGTCACACATTCAGAGGGGGCATTCAAATGCATAAGCCCAGCTGAATCCAAAGTGCTGCACCTTTGAAATGAGATATTTTTTCGATTTGAGGCATTTTTCGATGTTAAGAGTGCTCAAACCGGTAAGTACAAGCCAGGGACCCCATTTTGGCTATCTCAACTCAAAACTGACACTAAGGTGGGAGGGTCGCTTTAAGGGAATAAGACACAGAAAAGTCCTGGGAAATACGGTAAAAAAAAACACTTAACACTTCCTAGTGTAAAAAAATTAACGTAAAAGGTGATCAGGATGTGTACTTTGTGTAAACAACTTCAAAAGAGCACCACATGCATATTGCATAGTACAACCATCTCCGCTTTCCATGCATAATCCTAATCGTCACTTTACTACTGACGGATCAAAGGAGAGTGTCGTCCAAACTTGACGATCGTAATTAGTTCATCGATAAGCTGTAGCCACGATAAGCTGCAGCCAGTGCAGCCCCCTCCACCGGCCAGTCGCAGTCACCAAGCCGAGAGACTTCTAACCAGCATACCAGATATAACACCAATACTCAGGCCAGTGAGCAGTGCGTCATGCAAGTGTGCTTTGTGCTATTGAATGGGGACGTGCTGTTCCGCCATCTGACATTTTGATCCATTAAATTAAAAAAAAAACACCCAACAAAAGTCGCCATTGCGTCAATACTCGATACGATATGGACTCCTAGAGAAGTGGAAGCCCTATCAAGCCCAAGAAAGCAATGATTTCTGTCTCAATACGCCTTGTAAAAACCCTGCGGTAACCCCTTTTGAACCAAAGTATGGGCGCTGATAGCTAAACCATACAACAGTGCAGTATCCTACGTTCCAAATATGCAATGTGTGATAGTGCTGGCGTAGCTACAATACCGCAATAGCCTCAACCATCTATGGTGAATACGCATGCTGCATTACGATGTGCGTTGACTCGGTGCTACCACAGTGCGTCCCTCCGATAGTGCTGTTCTCCCCAGTGCCCACCGATGCCGCCGCACTCATCCGCCTTTACCTGCACGTTATACACCCGCGACGAGTTGAAGGGATTTTTGACGCTGCGCGATCTGGCAGCCTTCTGCGACACGTTGGACGTGTTGAAAGCGTGCAGCGACGACGTGCTGCCTATGGACGTGTAGGAGCCGTCGATGGACTGCCAGAGGGAGTGGCAGCGTCAGTCAGCGTCAGTCACGGCGACTGATGGCGCCCGGCGGTGGAGGCGTGTCAGGCGTTAGAGCCGCTCCGGTTAGTTTCCCGGGTAGCTGCCCAGTTAGTAGTTATGTGTCGGGGTGTGTTGGTGGAGCAGACATCCACCGGCCGTGCTACCGTGTTAGTAACCAGTAACCACTCCCGCTGGGTTACTGCGGAGCCGGGACGGAGCGCCCGGCTGGGACGGCGACTGGACATGACGCACTGGACACTACAACAGACTACAAACCTGCGACAGCAGAGTCGCGGCTCTGTGGCGTGGGACAGACCACCGCCTCTGAGAGCTCAGCAATATACAACTACGAGAGGTCAAACACAAACAGATACACAGAAAATCATAAAGCTACGGAAACTGCGAAATAAAAATAACCGACAGACAACACTAAATGATAGTTCGAACTACCGAGCATACTAGGCTCACTGTTACACAGCCACTCACTCACTCAGTCACTCACCCACCAACTCACTGGTTACTCACCTTTTCACCTTCAAAAACGCTCACTCACTCACTCACTCATTCACTAACTCTCTGCTCACCCCACTCACTATCCCGGACCGCTCACTCCCCTCCCGCTCACCCTATCCGAGGCTCTGTGGTTCTCTTTAGTTGCTCGTGCCGACCGGAACAGCTTTTTAAACGAGGGCGTCTTGGCCTTTTTGCGCTGCTGACCGACATCCAGCAGCGGGGTGGGCGGCTCGGCGGCCGGCGGCACGTCCACGGGCAGCTCCTGGCTGGTCAAGCTGGCGCGCGTGCTGCTCAGGCTGTCGTCGTCGCCCGGCTTGATGTTTTTGGCCGGGGTCAGGTTGCCGCGCCTCGGGCGCGCGTACGACGTCTGATGCGACAGGGCGGCGGTCCAGCCGGGTCAGCGGGGGCCGACCCACAGCGGCCGGTGGGCAGAGCGTCACTGGGCGGAGAGGCGGCTGATGGTAAGGAGGTCGAGGATTGTTGGATCAGCAGAGGGTCCTGGATTAGCGGAGGATCAGCGAAGGATTCTTGGATTAGCAGGGGTCATTGGAGTCAGCGGAGAGTCGGCACAGCATGGCGTCGGGTGGAGTGGCTACGCCGAGTCGTCAGAAGGGTCACAAGCAGATCAGCCCAACGGGGCACAGTGATGCAAATGGGGTTCACGAGTGGCCATAAATACCAAAAAGTAAAGTTTACCAAACCGAGTAAATCGCTATATGGCTAACCAAAGAAATGTTTGGCGCATCTGAATTCACATAGATTTCATATTTTTGTCAAAACCGGCCTCGTGTATGATTGTCAGAAGTCGTGACATTTTCTATGTTGTAAAATGACTTTCAGATACTCGCAACTTCAAACACCGCTAGCGTGCGTTCATTTCATACAAATGACAAAAATTATACATGGCAATGATCCCTCAGGCCTGCTGCTTCTCAAGCCGGGTCACAAAAAGCCGCATCTTTTTTGATTTGGCGGTGATCTAATCATTTGTCATCATGTTGCAATCGCAGTTTTTTACTAAGAAATATTTGCTTTCGTTTCACCTACAGCAGTGTACACAGTGTGTGCCCGTTAGTGCACCATACCATATCATTCCCTAACCATTTCTGAGTCACACTGTGAAAGAATTAAGGCGCTAGCACAGGGCAGACCGGCGCTATTGAAGTTTTTGTCCGGCGCGGTCGGGTGTCGCGGTCGGGGCGGATTGCTTTCACCGCGGATCGCAATTTCGACAGATGTTTAACTTTGAACTGCTATAAGTAGGTCAAATATTGACCTTAACCCGCGCACCGACGGGGGGGGGCGGATATCCGCCCCCCCCTGAGGTTTTTCGCGAATAGCGGAAAAACCGCGGCGCGTAGCGCCGCGAAATTTGGTATGACTATTCCCTTATCAATTTTACACATGGTGTGCAAGTTTGAACCTCCTACCTTTCAAGGTCAGGTCACCAGGTCACTTTGAATGACCCAACCTCAAGTCACTTTTTTGCAACTTTGTCACCGTGCCAGAGCTACAGTAGATGTCGGAGGCCTTTGAAAGTCGCAGGATGTTATTAGGTCATTAGTAGCTACAATTTGTATATCTCGGAATTTTGATATCGGTGACCTAAGGTCAGGTCAATTTCGCGACCTCCCCATTATAAGTCAATGGGGGAAAAATCAACTCCCTGTTTTTACCACTAAAACGGGTCGGAATGGCCCCATATACCATACATGACTTCATATACGATCAACCTTCACTACCTTGAGGTCTGTTTTGCTGTTGGGCAGCTGTGAGGTCATGTGACGTCATCAAAGGTCACCAAAGGTTTTTGGCCAATAACTCCGTACAGGAACAAGATACAGACGCGTGGATGGTCTCATTGTGTTCAGCTCGTCAAGACGCATCGAATGATATACATGATGACCTCGAGGTCACGTGACCTGAGGTCAACCTTTGACCTTGACCTTTCGAGGTCAACATATATATCATTCGATGCGGATTGACGAGAGGATCACGATGATGCCCTTAGTTTGTTCCTATCTTGACTAATTCGAAAGTTATTCGAGAAAAACTCTCTCCATATTTAGCGCCGCCATTTTGACTTTTATGACCCCTGTGACGTCATCTTTGACCTGACCTGAAAATGACCTTAGTAAAAATTGTAGATCTTGACCGTGCGTATCCGATGCCGTTTACCGCTTGTCGCTATCTTGCTTCGTTCTCGAGATCTCAGGGGGGGGCGGTCATCCGCCCCCCCCCGTCGGTACTAAGTTGGCGCAGACCCCCGTCGGTGCGCGGGTTAAGTCAAAAGTAATGTGCTCACTCGCGAGATCTTGTCAAGAGCAATCCATTGGTTTTTGTCGCGAGGCGATAGGACACTTTGTTAGGAACATCAGAGGGATGCACCGACGAACCCCCGCTGAGGCCGCCCGCCCGCGGCGCGGCCGCCCGGGCTGCCCACCGCGCCCGACCGCAACGGACGAAAACTTTAGTAGCGCCGGTCAGCCCTGTGCTAGCGCCTTCATTCTTTCACAGTGCGGCTCAGAAATGATTAGGGAATGCTATGGTATGATGCACTAACGGGCACACACTGTGTAAACTGCTCTAGGTGAAACGAAAGCAAATATTTTTAAATAAAAAACTGCGATTGCAACATGATGACAAATAGTTAGATAAACGCCAAACCAAAAGAGATACGGCTTTTTGTGACCCGGCTTGAGAAGCAGCAGGCCTGAGGGATCATTGCCATGTATAATATTTGTCATTTGTATGAAATGGACGCACGCTAGCGGCGTTTGAAGTTGAGAGTATCTGACAGTCATTTTACGGCATAGAAAATGTCACGACTTCTGACAGTCATACACGAGGCCGGTTTTGACAAAAACATTAAAGTCATGTTTTTTTCAGACACTTCAAACATTTGCCTGACTGGCCATATTACGATTTATTCAATTAGGTGAACTTGAAATTTGGGCCTTTTCGGTATTTATGGCCACTCGTGAGCCCCATTTGCATCACTGTGCGGGGACGGTCGGACAGCCAGACCCAGAGGTCAGTTAGCGGGCTCCCGTAATTAACCAGTGCCAGAACTGCAGCAAACATGCCATGACTGACCGCATACGAGGAACATTACCGCTCGAGATTATATAAATAATAAGACTGTAGATCAGGTTAACGCTACAAATTAAGAGTTATACTGCTTAGAAACATAAGAGATGATGTACAAAATTGCTTTTCATTTCCATACGCTGTGTAAGTGCGGTGGCAAAATACATAAATTTTTAACTAGCCGCCAGTCGGAACATTTTAAACTAGTAAAACTATATCTATACTATTCACTCTCACACATGCCATATATTTCTGTTACGGCAAACCAAAAAGTTGTGTGGCATGCTAGCAAAATATGATCTATAGTTTATAAAGAATAACGCAGATGTAACTTGCCTGAATTCATCTACAGATGTAAAGCAAAACAGTTCATTGCTAAGTCCTAAGCTACCGTCCAGTGACCATACGCAGCAATTCAAGTGCATTCGTTAGTTCCCGAGCTGCCGAAATTGAACGCATGCACATTGCACAATAGCTACACGTTAAAATGATCAACAGTGCGCGCTAAAAAGTATTCATTTTAATACACCCTTATCAAGTTTAAATTAAATAGACTCGCGGTGCCTGGGCGTATGACTGGAATGAATACAATGATCGCAAAAAGGTAGCCAATAACAAGGGAAAAATTACAGCGACAAAAAATTAAAAAGTTGAAGCAATCATGTGATTGCACTGCTGCAAAAAGTAACATTGATATAAATAATAATTCGTCTATGTTCTCATGCCCCCCCCCCCCCAGAAATGCTGTTTATGCGCGTCTTTGTAAGGTCTAAACTCCGAAACCATTGCATACGTCGAGCTAAATGTCGAGCGGCACCGGCAGAGTCAGGGGCAGACCTTCGGCCGGCCGGTCACCTCGGCACACACTCGTACCTGCAGCTGATCACGCCGGCGGCGCTTGCTGTTGATGCTGCACGTGCTCGAGTTGCTGTCCAGGCTGTCAGAGAGCACGTCGGCAGCGCTCTCGGCCGACTTGCGTTTGGCCGAGCGCGTGTTGGCCGCCGGCGAGTCCAGAGTGACGCGGCGCGTGCGCGCGCTCAGGCGCGAGATGTCGTCACCGTTCTGCGCGCGTCGCCGTCGCCATGACAACGACGAGTTAGAGAGGGCGAAAGACAGGCAGATGGATAAAAGATAGAATGAAGCTGACGAGCGATACACTACGTAAGACAGATTTAGAAATTTCTACAAGAGCACCCAAAGGTCGATAAATAGAAACTGTCTTACTGATTCATCAGTTTAAACACTAAATGAGATAACAGTCCTACGCTACAACCAAAACAAATCCCCAAAACAAAAGTTCTATCATGATCGAAAACGAAAAAAACATAAAAACGTACAGCATATCGCAGCCCCACAACTACAAGCACTACATCTATTGCTCTGCTGTCATATCTACCACTAACTGCGTGTTCAGCCGTTGAATGTCCCATTACTCACCCGTAGTTCATTCTCCGACATGGTGGCCGAGGCCTGGCCAAGCACATTGATCTCCGGCGCGTAGCACGAGCGCAGGTGGGGCGGCATCAGCGAGTTGCGCCGCTGCAGCTCGCTCATCCGACCCAGGTAGTCCACCTCACAGCGTCCTGGCGCGGCACGGGGTGGTGTCAGTGGGTGGAGTCGTAGTCATCTCGGCCAACTGAGCGCTAGTTGATGTCAAAGCAGCAAGCTCTTTTTTGTCAAACGCTTACACTTTTATCACAAGCCGCACATTACTGACGCCATTTGTCGTTGGTCAGTTTTTGAATCATGCCCACTAAAAAAATGCGTATAATATATTCAATTTGTAGAAAAAACAGCCCATGACATAACTACTCGCTAAAATAATAACTTTATTTTAAGATTGATAATGATCTAGACGCATTATAACTATGATCAGAACAGTACCAGGTAAGCAGAAAACGGTGACACTACAGGGTCTTTCATAATGAATGTGATTTTTAAAACGCGAAGTTGAAGGTGCTCGTAAATAATAAAAGCATACATTTTGTATTTACCTTATTGCAAATTTCTTGGAATTTCTGTTGATGTAATTAAAACTGTCACACTTCACCAAACTTCCCTTTTGTACGGACATGAAATGCCTCCCCCTACAACACGGGTCAGCTCTTTTTTTTACGTAGGCGTTTTGGGTGGTCGTGGGAAACGGCTCACTGAAGCGCACGGCTGTCCACCGTAAGATTTGGGGACACTTTTAAAAGAAGCACAATATCCGCTCTAAAATGATCAGAGGCTTGTGAACAGATTCCAGAATGTCACGGTTGACTGCAAGGAACAAAACGCACGAAAGGTCATGTTTTGGGCTGCCGTGGTCGACGGGCGTGTCTTCGTCCACTGGTTCGCTTCCTGCTTATCAGTGACTGAGCTAGCTTATCTGAGGCTGCTCAGTGCTCAAGAAAGAATTCTGGCCTCATGTGCCTGGCGGGGTTTAAAGACAAGGCCGCTGGTTTCAGCAGGACGGCGCTGAAGTGACACAACGGCGGCTGAGCGCCAGTGGTTGGATGGCAACTTTGACAGACGAGTGATCAGCCGTCTCACTGAGCGGCCATGGCCAGCTTGGAGCCCTGATCTCTCGCCGATGGACTTCTGATTTTGGGCAGTCGTCTTGGAGGCCCCAAGTAGAGGCCCTTCCAGTGACCCTCATAGAGCTACAGGTCACAGTGGAGAGGTTTGCTGCAAGGAGGATGCGCTGAGAATGTGAAGCGCGTGGTGCGCCATTTGCGTCAGCGGGCCGAAATCTGTGTCCGAAAGCGAGGCGACACAATTCAAAATCCATGAAGGGTACCTAAATGCGAGTCATGTGTACATAATTTCCCATGATTTGTTATTTCATTCGGGTATTGACAATAACGTTGTGATGTTTATCACCTGAGCTATGGCTATTTTAAAAATAACATTCATTCCAATAGAGATAATCTATTGGCTTCAGGCCAATAGATTATCTCTCTCAATACCTAAAACTTTCTATCAAATATACTCCTCTCAAGGGACTGAGCCAGATTTAACAATTCCGGTTGCAAACTCATGTCTTAAACGAACTAAAACTGTAAAATATCTCGGTATTCTCATTGATGAGAACCTAAAATTCAAATCGCACATTAACAAAGTATCAGGAATTTGTAGTAGAAACTTAGGTATTCTTTACAGAGCCAGATACTTACTTACCCGAGACTTACTGATTCTCCTATATAATTCACTAGTACAACCCTACCTTATGTATTGTTCACATATTTGGGGCTCGAACTATCCGACAACCCTCAAACCTATTATAACAGTCCAGAAGCGAGCCATTCGCCTGATTATGAACAAGGAGCCCAGAACATCTACATCCCCACTCTTCAGAGAGTTGCGAATGCTGAAATTCAACGATCTAGTTAAGTATCAAATCCTATTGGTTCTACATGACTATTTGGTCATCTTCCTAACGCGGTAGCTGACAGACTAGCCATTAACCATGACTCCCCAAGTAGATCGAGACGTACGCAACATTTCCGAGAGCGGAGTAGTACAAGTGGTAATATTCCCAACCACAGACTTACTAACTACCGACGATATGTACTATTCCATGCGGGCCCATTGTTGTGGAATGAAGTTGTAGCCTCACGAATTCCCAATATTAATGATATCCCGGCATCTAAAGCCTTATTTAAAAAATGCATTAAAATCATATTTATTGATACTTATTAACCTGTCTTGCATACTCTCTATATACTTGATACACACCCACACCCGTCTTGCGGTACTCCGGAGCAAGGCGAGCGGCTAGCCAATCTGTATCTTCTTTTCTCTTTCTTTTTTTCTCTCTCTTCTTTTTTTTAAACTACATCTTATCACCACGGTAACCACAAATCCACCTGTGCGTAAATTATCATTTATCACCCTGTCGTTACATGATTTAATCAAATAACTAATTTGTGCTTTGTGTAGTGGCCACGGGAAGCCTTGTGACCTTTGCCACACACAATTGCACGTACAGCCCGGAATATATCATTAGCACATTCAATTTTGTTTATATATTTTCGCAATACATGTATATCAAGCAAAATCAGTGTTAAGAAGCCATTTGTTCGCTATCTATCAATCCTATTCCCCCCCTCTACCCCATGCCCATGACATCACCATCTATATGTCCATTACATACATACCTCACTCCCTGTTTCCAGCACCCTCCGGACGCTGCTCAACTGTCGGCTCACTCTGCTGCCTGGGCTTACGCTGCCCTGCGGAGCTCAGCCACGGGCGACGGGATGTCGGCTCCAACTGTCGCGGCCTGTGCTGCCGATCGGGCCTCAGTCCCTGCCGGCGCCGGATGGGACGCCGACGTCGGCCGCTGCCAATCCGTCTGTGGTCCGCCGATGATCGGACTCGTGCTGGACTCGTGCCATAACTACCTCCGATGTGACTCGCGGCAAGCTGCCGACGTCCATCTCAGTCGCCAGAATGCTGCCATCTGGGCCCTCGTTGCTGTTGGCGAGAGTCGCACTGCGAGTGGCCTAACCTCGACCTCCACTGACCTCGGTCCCTGCCGACACCGGTGGGACGCCACGTCGGCCGCTGCAGATCCGGCTCTGATCCACCGCCGATCAGACTCGTGCCATACCTACCTCCGACTTGATTCTCAGCAAGCCACCAGCGTCCGTCTCAGTCGCCCGTCACAGTCACCAGGATGCTGCAATCTGGGCTCTCGTTGCTGACGGCGCGAATCGCTCTGCGAGTGGCCTAACCTCGACCTCCGCTGACCTCGGACCCTGCCGACGCCGGTGGGATGCCACGTCGGCCGCTGCAGATGATGACCCTGCTCTGAATTGACGCTCCACTGGTCGTGGATGCTGCCGGCCCCGCCTCAAGCGCCGGTGATGCTGCCGCCTGAATGCCGGACTGGGCGCCTGGCCTCGATGTGCGCGAAACAAGCCCAAGCCCCCGCCCCTATGACCCATCCGGGCCAACCCGGGACTGGCCCCTCCTGTGAGGGGCCGGTCGGCCGGCCGGGCGTGCGGAGCGCCGACCTAGACGGGTCGACGCTTCGCTCGCCCGGTCGGTGGTTAGGGGGCACCGTCCGGGGTTGCTTGCCGGGCGGTGCGGGCGGGGGCTGGCGGCCCGCCTGGAGCGCCGGGGAGGTAGCCATCAGATCTCCCCGGCTGGGGAAGCATCCCCCAGCTCTCCCCAGGGCCGTGGACGGCACCGTCCCGGCCTGGCCAGGTGGGCCGCCGATGGTGAGCAGTGGGGACAGTCGTTTGGGCGATCACACTGCCCCGGTGGTGGCGTGAGGGGGATGTGAGATTTCTCCTCAGCTGCATTCACTGTATGCACTGTGTGAATCTAATGGCAATGGCGCTGCTCTTACCTACAACCTACTTAACTACTAACACTGACTGACCACTCTAACAAAACTAGCATGTACATATCCTAAATCCAACCCCCTTCCACGAGCAGCACCATCTATCTATTAGAACTGCCATGTACGCCATCTGTTTTCTGTTCCATGGGCTGCTCTCACTCGCTTTCTTTGTACCTGTTCAAATACACCACCGGTGGGAACCGGAATGAATGAATGAATGAATTATGAAAGACCCTGTATGAATAGTTAATATCCCATCAAGTAGAGTAAGCTTTGTCTCCAAAGCGGAAAAAGCGACCACCCGTTCTCACCTTCCTGCACGCCGAGGTAGGACGAGCTGAAGATCTCCGGCTCCTCATCATTGCAGGGGAACAGCGCGCCGGCGCCCGGCGGCAGCGACGGCCGCGCATACACCTCCCCGTGACTGACGCTCTTGGGCAGCCGCTCCGGCGGCGGCATGCCCTCGTGTGTCGGGCGCAGCACCTCAGACGTGGAGGCCACCAGCGCGCTGCGCGGGCGCGCCGCCTCGGAGCGCGGGCGCGGACTGCCGGCCGTCGAGCCGCGACGGTCCATGTCGCGCAGCCGGCGGTCGGCCAGGGCCAGCTGCGCGTCCAGCGTCTTCCGTTCCGACTCTGAGCGCCGCAGCGCCTGCTCCAGCTGCGTGATACGGCTCTCGTACCCGGAGCGAGCCTGGTCCGACACGCCACTCAGCTGCTTGATCTTGTCGAGGAGCGCGCGGTTCTCGCTAGACAGACGGCTGACCTCGCGGTCGTAAGTGGCCGCCTGGCGCTTCAGATCGGACGCCGCCTTGGCCGTCATCTCGTCGCGCGTCTTGCGGAAGACGGTGTTGAACGTCTCCTGGCACTCGGCCTTGATCTGGTCCTCGAGGTCTGCGCGCAGCCGCTCGGCGGCCTGCCGGTCGGCGCCGTCTCGCTGCTCGGCCAGCTGGCGGTTCTCCAGCCGCAGGCGCTGCAGCTGCAGGTGCTGAGTGCGCTGCTCGCTCTGCGCCCGCTCCATCTGAGACCGCGCCTCCTCCACCTCCGTCCGCAGCGACTGCGTCAGGCGCTCAGACTCGGCGCGCACCGTTTTCAGCTCGGACTTGACGCTCTCTAGTGATGTCTGGAGGTTCCGGAGTTCCTCCTCTTTCTGCTCCACGATAGCCTGAACTTCGGCCTTCACAGTATCCAGTGAAGACTTGAGTTCTTGGAGGGTCTCTTCCTTCTCATCCAGGTCAGACTTGGCTTTAACCCGGGCGCTCTCCAGCGACTCGTGTAGGCTCTGGATGGCGTCTTCTTTCTCATTGATCACAGACTGAGCTTCGGCCTTAGCACTCGCAAGGGAAGTCTCGAGGCTGCGAATGGTCTCCTCTTTCTGTTCGAGGGCAGACTGCGCCTCAGCCTTAGAACTCTCAAGCAAGGCCTGAATGCTCTGGATGGCATCTTCTTTCTCTTTTAGAATAGTCTGAACCTCAGCCTTGGCACTTCCTAGCGAAGTCTCAAGTTTCTGAACAGTCTCGTCCTTCACCACGCGCTCAGATTGAGCCTCAGACTTGGCCTTTTCCAAAGAGGTCTGCAGGTTTTGTATAGTCTCTTCTTTCTTGTCGAGGGCAGATTGAGCATCCGCCTTGGCGTTCTTCAGTGAAAGCTCAAGGTTCTGTATGGTCTCCTCGTTCTTTTCGACCAAAGACTGGGTTTCGGCCCTGGCGCTTTCTAGGGATGCCTGGAGACCACGGATGGTCTCTTCCTTCTGCTCAGCGATAGATTGAGCGTCATCTTGGGCACCCTTCAGGGTTGTCTGAAGGTTCTTGATAGTTTCTTCCTTCTCTTCGAGGACAGATCGAGCCTCGGTCTTCGCACTCTCTAGCAAGGCCTGGAGGTTTTGAATGGTCTCTTCCTTCGCTTCTAGGTTCGACTGAGCCTCAGTCTTAGCACTTTCCAGAGAGGTCTGCAGCAGTCCGATTTGCTCATCCTTCTGGTCCATGGCAGATTGAGCATCTGCCTTCGCACTCTTCAGAGAAGTCTCTAGGCTTTGAACAGTTTCTTCCTTCGTCTCCAGGATCGACTGAATCTCGGCCTTGGCACTCTGCAGTGAGGTCTCAAGGTTTCGGATGGCCTCTTCTTTCTGTTGGAGGGTGGAATGAGATTCAATCTTAGAACTCTGGAGGAGGGCTTGCATGTTCTGTATGGCATCATCCTTCTCCTTAAGAGCAGACTGAGCATCAGCCCTGACATTTTCCAAGCTGGCTTGAAGCTCCTGGACGGCCTCTTGCTTCTTCTCCAGGACAGATTGAATCTCAGCCTTTGAAGTCTCAAGTGCTGCCTCCAGGTTCCGGATGGTCTCCTCCTTCTGCTCTTGGGCAGACTGAGCTTCAGTGCGGGACCTCTCGAGCAAGGTCTCCAGATTCTTGATGGCCTCTCCTTTCTCTTCAAGAACTGACTGAGCTTCAGCCTTCACGCTTTCTAGCAATGTCTGCATGTTCTGAATGGCCTCTTCCTTCTTCTCAGCAACAGATTGACTTTCAGCCTTAGCACTTTCGAGCGAGGACTCGAGATTCCGGATTGCCTCTTCGTTTTGTTCCAGGGCGGACTGAGCATCCGCCTTCGCGTTCTTCAGGGACGTCTCAAGGTCCTGGATGACGTTTTCTTTCCGTTGAAGGAGAGTCTGAGTCTCAGTCTCCATACTCTTTAATGCAGCTTCAAGATTCTTGATGGTCTCTTCCTTCTGATTGAGAACAGACTGGGCGTCGACCTGGGCAGTTTTCAATGCTACCTGAAGGTTCTTCAGGCTCTCTTCCTTCTGCTCCAGGGCAGAGTGAGCCTCAGCCATGGCGGTCTGGTGCAATGTTTGAAGGTTTCGAACAGCCTCATCCTTCTCTTTGAGAGCAGACAGGGCCTCAGCTTTTTCGTTTGCCAGTGTAGCCTGAAGCTTCTGGATCGTCTCTTCTTTCTGCTCGAGGACAGCATGGGTTTCAGCATTGGAGGTTTTCAGCAGTGTTTCAAGGTTCTGTATAGCCCCATCTTTTTCTTCAAGAGCAGACTGTGCCTCAGACTTCGCACTCTCTAGTGAGGTCACGAGGTTCTGGATAGTCTGTTCCTTTCGCTCGAGGTTAGATTGAGCCTCAATCTTGGCATTTTCCAAGCTGGCTTGAAGCTCCTGGACGGCCTCTTGCTTCTTCTCCAGGACAGACTGAATCTCAGCCTTTGCAGTCTCAAGTGCTGCCTCCAGGTTCCGGATGGCCTCCTCCTTCTGCTCTTGGGCAGACTGGGCTTCAGTGAGGGACCTCTCGAGCAAGGTTTCAAGGTTCTTGATGGCCTCTTCTTTCTCTTCAAGAACTGACTGAGCTTCAGCCTTGACACTTTCTAGTAACGTCTGCATATTCTGAATGGCCTCTTCCTTCTTCTCAGCAACAGACTGACTTTCAGTCTTAGCACTTTCGAGCGAGGACTCGAGATTCCGGATTGTCTCTTCGTTTTGTTCCAGGGCGGACTGAGCATCCGCCTTCGCGTTCGTCAGGGACGTCTCAAGGTCCTGGATGACGTTTTCTTTCTGTTGAAGGAGAGTCCGAGTCTCAGTCTTCATACTCTGTAGTGCAGCCTCAAGGTTCCCGATGGCCTCTTCTTTCTGTTTGAGAACAGACTGGGCGTCGTCCTGGGCTGCTTTCAATGCTACCTGAAGGTTCTTCAGGCTCTCTTCCTTCTGCTCCAGGGCAGAGTGAGCCTCAGCCATGGCGGTCTGGTGCAATGTTTGAAGGTTTCGAACAGCCTCGTCCTTCTCTTTGAGAGCAGACAGGGCCTCAGTTTTTTCGTTATCCAGTGTGACCTGGAGCTTCTGAATAGTCTCCTCCCTCAGAGCAAGAACGGACTGAGCCTCGGCCTTGGCGCACTCCAGTGAGCTTTGGAGAGCTCGGATTTCCTCTCCTTTCTGCTCGATCGCAGAGTGAGCCTCGGCCTGGGAACTCTGGAGGCGAGTCTGAAGATCCTGAATGACCTGTTCCTTCTGTTCGAGGGCAGACTGAGCTTCGGCCTTGGCACACTCCAGGGAGGTCTCAAAGTTCTTAATGATGTTTTTCTTCTCCTCAAGGACAGATTCGAACTCAGCTTTGGCACTCTGAAGAGACAGCTGGAGTGTCTGCACGGCTTCTTCCTTTTGGTGGTGCGCACACTGTAGCTCATACTCGGCTTTTTCCAGAGCATCCTGAACGTTCTTGATGCTCTCTTCTTTCTGCTGAAGAGCAGAATGAGCCTCAGCCTTGGCACTTTGAAGCAGGGTCTGAAGGTTCTCGATAGTTTTGTCCTTCTCTTCCAGGGCAGAATCAGCTTCAGACTTGGCACTCGTGAGCAGCGTCTGGATCTCGCGGGTTTCTGCGCGCGCTGTGCGCAGCGCCTCCTGCTGTTTCTCAGCGGCCTCCTGTAGCTGCTGGGTCTGGGTGCGCGCCGCGCGCAGCTCCCGGTCCAGCTGTTCGGCCTGTGTCCGCAGGTCGGCGTTCTCGGCAACGGCCAGCTCGGCAGCCAGGTTTCCGGCGGCCGGGCCGGCCGGGCTGGGAAGCGACTGGTCCATCGCTGCCGACACACAGTGCCGTGGACAGGTCAGAGGGCTGGAAAGCGCCAAACGTAGTAAGCACTCAAAAGTAGTTCTCCGTTTTAATGCTTGAATAGCTTAAAAGAGACAACAAAGCTCGTAAAAATACGAAAGAGCGCCGGAATAACGAACTTAGCTAGATTATACTGTCTAAAAAAAAATCTGTACTTCTCGACACGCTAAGAACAAGCTAACAGTGAGAAAAATTCGTCAGATCAGCCGATCAGCCATCTGCAATACATCGTAGACCCCCATTCGTGACAATGAGAATACAAAAAAAAAACCTACGTGGGCGTGGAAATCCAGGACCCCCAGCGGGACACGGGTTAATATCGACATCATGACTTCCGTTCGTCTACTGCTACCGACCGACTTCAGTATGCAGCCGTACCTCAAAAAGGCCGCGCCCTCAGCACGGCCGGATCTCATACACGCAGGTATGTCGCCTGGTCCTCATCCTTTCCGCCCCACCGGCATCCCACCTGGCCCATATCCCACCGACATCCCACTTCGTCTCTGTCCATCCCACTAGCCGCCCGCTAGCCCCAGGTGGGATGGCCACTCCTCACACTCACAGCCGTCACACTGGTCGCCCCACTCACATTCGTCGCTGGGCGGGCGCGCCTGCAGATCATGGATCATCTGGCTGCTGATGAGCAGCTCGTGTTCCAGCTGCGTCAGCCGGCCCGTCAGCGAGTCGTTCTGCTCAACCAGCTGCACCTGGCTCACCTCGGCGGCGGCCAGAGCGCGCTGCAGCGCCAGCGTCTCCTGCACAGAGCGCTGCTGGGTGGCGCGCACCCGCTCCAGCTGGACGAGAGGGGAGTGATAGTCAGAGACTGGAGGGGACCACATAGAGAACACGGAGTGTCACCGGTCATGGCACGGCGGACGGACTGTGTCTACTTTATACCGTTAAAGAAATTATTAATTGTAAAAATATCAATTGAACAACATCCAATAACCCAATAAATTATTCTGAAGAACTCCGTGTCAATGAACTACAGAGTACAAAGCAACACATTCAGGTAACTTATGACCCGAAATTCACAAATCAGGAAATCACTGTTGAACCATTCATTCCGAAGTATTCAGCCGTAAGTTGAGCTCACCTTTGCGCTGAAGTCGTCCCGTTCGGTGGTAGCGTCCAACAGTTGACATCGGAGCTGTTCATTCTCCTTCAGCAGTGACTGAAAAAAACAACAGCGAATAAACAGCGAATAGTTCAGTCACGGCCGCACATTGTATCAGCATTCGTAATTCGTATTGCAACTTATTGAGTAGACAAAACACTCGGATACCGAAATACTGGGTATCCCGTGGTCAGTGGTGAAAACTGATTCGGGTGCTTATGCATGTATGCTACGAGCTTCGTGAAACTACAGTCGGTATACATCAAACGATAAAATATACAAATTATACATGATAATGCTACTCCGATAAATACGATAAAAACGACAAAACCAAAACGAAACGATAAAATCAAAACTCATTCCCTTGAGGAAACACCCGCGGAGCCTCCCCAGTAAAATTGCCCCCCACCCTGCCCTACCCCCAATCCCGTCCGCGGTGCTCACCTTGTGCTCTCGGAGTCGGCGCCGATGCTCCTCCGTCAGCGGCATCTGACCGTGGTCGCCCAGTTTAGCCTGGAGCTCGGCAATCTCCTGACGCTTCTCATCGAGTCGCTCCCGCAGCTGCTCAGACTTTGACCCTGAAGAACAGCACACAACATCAGTCTCCTTCCAGTTACCAAGGGGAATAGCAGTCGTGAGGGAAACAGTCAGCAAACGCGCGTCAATGTCGTTTTGTGACGGTGACGGGCCAGATCTGGTGCTAAAACCACTGCAATCATTGCAGTCTGGTCCTAAAACCAAACCACCGAGTCTAGCCCCGCGTCCTGACCTAGGACTCCTCTCTGGAGACTTACGCTGGTCGGCGACGCGTTGAGCGTACTGCTCAGCCTCCAGGCGTGCCTCAGCCGTCTCGTCCTCAGCGCGAGCCTTGGCCTCTCGGAGCGCTATCACTTCCTTCTCCGAGGTGTCGAGCGCACGGCTCAGTCGGATCACCTCCTGCAGCACGGGCGACTGGCGGCACCCACAGAGGGGAGAGGTCAGCACGGAGAGAGGGAGAGAGAGAGAGGGAGAGGGAGGGAGGGAGGGAGAGGGTCAGTACGGACAGAGGGGAGAGGGCAGCTGACACAGGGACAGAGGGATGGGTGCTAGCAAGGCGGACGGACAGCGTCATCGAGTGTTTCCAAAATTACATTTTTAGCGCGAGGAAATGTTAAATTACAGATTTCATTACGGAGCGAGCAAAGCGAGCGTAGTCTTTCCTTAGATTAACGGAAATTTCTGAGTATGAGCGGCCGGCCGGCCGTGCGGACGCTTTTGCGAGGCTTATATCTCAGCAACCACTTGACCGATTTACACGCGGTAATTTTTGTAGGGTAGCTTCATTCCTTCTACCAAGTATTGGACTATTCCCGATGCATGTAGGTGACCCCTTATGCACGTGCCACGTGCAAAACGAAGAGGTGTCCGTTTTGTAATTGTTGCAGAATCTCGGTAACTACTTGGCCGATTGTGCTGAAAGTTGGCATGTATGTAGGCACCCACTAGGCACTGCATATCTATGTGCCAAAGTTGGGGTGCTACTGCACGTGCGCACGTGCAGGGGTCGTTTCCAGATCTCGAGAACGGCTGGACCGATTGCGCTCAAATTTGGTGCACGGTTAGGGACCAGTTAGTAGGGTGCCGTGCACAAGTCAGTTGGGACCCATTTTGCACGTGCGCACGTGCAGGGTGCCGCTTCCAGATCTCGAGAACGGCTGGGCCGTGCTCAAATTTGGCATATTGCTAGAGACCGGTTAGTAGGGTGCCGTGCTCAATTCAGTTGGAGGTACCCCCTCGAAATTTCGCACGTGCAAGGCCCACCCTCTCGCTCGCTCCGTTAGTCGCCCCAAAAGGCGTTATACCGGTATATTTTATTCAACAAAACGTACTTGGGTCGTTCCAAAGTTGATGATTCAACAAAGCAAGCCGGCATTACTGGAAAGTTTCGTGGTTTATTGCAGGTAACCACTTCGTCAACGAATAACGTCGCCATAATTTGCCGAATTTTCCAAACATATTTCTAATAGAAAACATACACATATCTCAATGCTTCATCAGCAATCAAAGAACGTAGACCGACTCCCCTAAATTATTCAAAATATACCTAATATCACAAACGAGCAATGGCATCTAAAAATCGTCCGCACTGCTATCGGACAATCACTTCGCTTAATTCAGCATACCCGACAATGTTCGCAGGAGTTTCCGCGGCTCCAGCAGCAGTACTTACATCGAACATAGCCTGCAGGGGCGACTTTCCCGGCGAGTAAGAGTAGAGCGTCGGTGAGGGGGCCGCCGGCGACACGGGCGAAGCGGTGAGGCGGCGCAGTGCCTCGGTGGGTAGTCGCACCATCTCCGCTGCCGGGGTCAACCAGTGTCACACCGGGGACGCAGGGGTGAGCGGCGGGGCACCTCGCGCACGGGCTTAGCGGGGAATACGACAGGTTATGTTGGCAAAATCGCTGGGGGGGGGGAGCAGGGATGCCTGGGAAGCTGCTGTATCGCTTTGATTAAGTGAATATCTATAGAAACACGTGTGGAGACAGCAAAAAGGAGAAAATTGTTCAACCTAATACTAACTAACCGGTTCCACATTTACCGAAGAGGTCAATGACACCACAAACAGTGCATATAGCGCTACTTGTTCATCAATGGAATTAATTACATCAACATCTACCCTTATTCGCTAAGGCACGAGAGGATTTCACTGCTTACCGACGGAGTTGATGACATCTGTGACGTCATCACGGGACACCTGCCCGCGCTTCATCAGCCGCTCGAACACAAACCGCATACCCTCCTGGAATGGACCAGAAGGGGTGACAGATCACGGGGTGGGATCACAGTCACAGGGCGGGGTCAGCTGGCGGGATCACGGGGCGAAGTCGCATATCAACAATCCAGTCCCAGAAATACCTACTCTATCTTCAGGTCCGCACACATATTTAAACCCCTATCCAACACCCGCCTGGCAGTTGATCCCGCCACCCCGCTCCGGCGCCCGTCGAGGAAGCGCCCGTCGCCTCCCGCCGTACCTGTACGGCGTTGGGTAGTTTGGTGAGCCGCTGCTGGAGGCCAGGGTTGCGCGTCTGCACACAGGACAGATAGAGCAGCACAACACCGAGCCGCAGCAGTTCGTCCTGCTGACCGGCGCGCACGCGCACAAAGTTGATCGGCTGCTTCGGAAACCGGCCTGAGGCGGCGAAATTCAGTGAGGAAGTCAGCTGGTGAGTAGAATTGTGCCGCTACGCGAATTGGTAAACATCTAGACCACAAACCCAGGCATCTGAGATCTCTATCTGAGAATAAATGCCTGAAGTTTGAATTAGTAGGTGATTAGCAGGAAATTAGCGGTGAAATACAAACAAAAAGGCTTTGAATGGTTTGATAAGCTTGAATGGTAAAACGTCACCAAGTTCATCGAAGCACACCGACGTGAAATCATTTGTGTTGAGCATTATAAAACTACGCAAAGCATGCAAATACTGAAATCCCCGCATTTGCTATCTAACAACAATCTGAGCAGCACTGACCATTGATGAACTTCTCCAGTGTTGCCACGATATGGCCATCATCAGTGCAGAAGTTGAGGTTACTGTGAACAAGAACAGACCACACGCTCACTTTGACATGGATATTTGTTCGGTGATAAACACAAAACGTTTACAATATTTATTTTTATGCGTGGTACTTGATGATCAATGTCCAAGAGCCACGAAAACTAAAACAGTGCAATATCTTCATATACATCTAGCTCAAGTACTGAAAAGGCAGATTTACAGCCCCAGAGCCCATGATAAGCCTAGTGGTGAGGCTGATAAGGGTAAAGACGTTTGTTCGGGTGTCTGAAGGACCAGGGTTCGATTTCTGATTCCCCCGTGCCCCGGTCCGCAGACTGTCATCCCCAGCTGCACCACCAGAAGCGAGGTAGGTACATACGTTCTCGCAATTGCCGTAGCCTGAACATGAAAAGAGAGCCCCAGTGATTGGGCATATGTGGTCTTTTGGACCACCAAAACAGAGCTCGCTGCGCCGAACCCAATCCTGTCCGGCATATCAGGCAACTAGAGACTGAATCGCGAAGAGTTGAATAGCTACTTGCACCGGGCCAAGGGACGCCGGTGGGACACCCTTTTGCGGTGTTCCGCAAATATCGACGAGGAGCGCTGCCCTTTTTGGCGCAGCCGTTCATGCATCTTTTTCGCACATTGGAAAAATTCAGACCCAGCCCACCAGCTCACGTCAAGTGACCTTACTTCAGAACAAGTTTTAGTGCTCGCCATAACTACACCGAGTGATCGATCGGTTTGAAACTTCCAGCGATTGATAGGAGCAACAGTATGTACAGAATGTTCATCCCAGAATTTTGATATCGGTGACCTAAGATCAGGTTAACCTACTTTTCGACCCCCCCCCCCCCCATTTTAAGTCGATGGGAGGAAATTGAAAGGCGCCTCTTTTAGACGAACGTCATTTTATTTTAACCACTCTCAAACACTGAATTACAAGTAGGTAACTATGACACACTGAACACGAAAATGGCACCCGTGACCCTTATTCATGCCCATGAGGTCATCTCAGGTTACCAAAGGTATACAACAGTTTTCCGCGAATAACTTTTGATAGGGACATGCTAGAGCGATGAAAGCGCTTTAGATGTGTTCAGCTCGACGATAAAAATCAACAAATACGCAAGATGACTCTTTCCGGTCGGGCCATGACCTTGATCCGAGGTCACATTTTGAAGTTGACCTTTCAAGGTTAAATTATGGTTCATTCCATGCGTCTTGACGAGATGAACACCATGCCGTTAAAAGTAAGCTCATGCAAGGTTTGAGTCAAAAGTTATTGCAGAAAAACTGTTTCCGAAAAAAAATCGCATACCTTGGTAGTTTTTGCTCCCTGCAGGCACAACCGTTGACGTTAGGTCAAATCTCAGAAAATACTCAGAAAGAGTGTCTAGGACTATCAAATGCGCTTTTCCGAGGCGCTCTAGCTCTATTAGTTTCCAAGTTATGCTTTGGCTTGTTGCAAATTGCCGACATTCGACCTGAAAGTCGGTGAAATTTGGCCTTCAATGATCTCTGGTGACCTGAACAAAGGTGACCGAAGTAATTTTGTCATTATTCTTGACGCTCTTTCGAACGCCGCCTTCTCCGTATCGCTACGTGCCCCAGGAGCCGATTTAGAAGGGGGGTGTTTAACCCCCCAGCAGTGCGCGGAAATCCAGGACCACCAGCGGGGCGCGGGTTAACACACCTCCTGCGGTCCAACGTGGGTGAATAAGTTTATCGCACTATCATCCCACTCACTGGCGGCAGCTCCTCCCACCAAACGCATACCAACTCAGTAGGGAAGCACCGTATCTCGTCAATCGAACTTTGGAACGACTAAACCCGCGATTTTATCACAGAAAGTCCAATGCTCTACCAACCGAGTCCGTTAGCTCCCGACAAAACGTATCTACCGACTCCCTGGCGGCTGTGGTTGCTGCTACCCAAATAGCAAGAGTAATCAATGCATATTTGAAAGCAAACGTGCCTTCGTCTATCGAGATACGATACGAGATACGTTACACACGACTCTCATGTCAGCACGACCAGGGACGATACCACAGGCAGAAAATAAAAAAATGTACATCTGGGAACGAGGAAGAAATTAACTAACATGATAATAAAAACTGTTTGCACAAAAGTTAACACAAACACAGAAACAAATGCACTAATGTATAACAGGGATACTCACAAAGGCTTGAGAATGATATGGGCCACACTGGGCTCCAGCAGCTCCCGTAGACTTTTCGCCGGAGTTTCTAGCTTGTGGACATTCACCTGAAACAAGCATTGTCATAGCAACTGCACACCTCAAACACACACCCTATAGCACCAAAATCAGAAACAGCAGTTCATATCCCAGTGCTAATCAAAGAAAGAGGATTTATGACCACATATATCAGTGTGTTTTGAGTAATGATTATAGGTTCTCCCAGAAATAACATAGATTAGGTTCGTTAGAAAGGGATAGGATAAACAACTCATCAGACAATCTTTGACAGAACTTTCTGATTCAGGTCAAACAAAATTAAGAAAATATTAACCCGCGCCCCGTTGGGCTCTGCCGAGCAACGCGCCCCGTTGGGGGGGGGGGCATTTTGGCCCCCCCCCCTAAGATCTCGAGAACCACGCAACGTAGCGACAAGCGGCAAACGGTGTTGGATAGCCCTATCAGGGAACTACCTTGTGACCCAATTTTATTGACCTAAGTCAAACCGATGACGTCACAGGTCAGGTCAAAGGTCCAATTTTCACCGTTTACAGGCATTTCAAGAAATGCGTTGTACAATCGAGTAAAATGCATTTCATTGAAAATCATCGATGGGGAAATGTTCTTCAAACACATATTTTGCTAGTTGAGGTCACTGATACCAGGTCAGGTCACAGAGGTCAGGTCACTGGGGGGTCACAATATGAAAGTGTCGTGTGATACATGTTTTATGGTCCATTTTACATGACAAATGCGATTATGCCCGGTCAGGCAGCCTTTGGGGCCAGCTTAGGTCACGTTTTGGTCAAGGTCAGGTCAAGGTCAGGTCAAGGTCAGGTCAAATTAGGTCAAATTTCAAAGTTGATATTTTTGCATAAAATGGGTATCGAATCGATGCAGCTTGTCACGGGGAGTTCAATGGTGGTCTTTGTTTTGCCGTACGAGGTCTAGAATCGCTAAAAATTGAGTTAAAAAATTTGACGTCATCATTTTTGAACAGTTTTTTCGCTATAACTTGGCCAAAAAACGAGATATCGATCTGAAATTTGGTATGTATATAGAACAGCGCAGGGACTATCACATATATTCCGGTTTTTTTCAAAATTCGGAAAAATGTTGGATTTTTTTTTTAGTTTTTCAAAAAAAAATCAATTTTTTGAATTTTTTTGGGTCGAAAACCCAAAATTTTGGAAATTCGAGATAGCAGTTTTGTAGAGCCGCTTTTTGTCTACTAGACCATATAAAGAACTTTGAAATTGCTTGATAACTGTAGATTTGGTGAGCGTTTCAAGATTGCATGTTTTTTGCTCATTTTTGCTCGAACATGACCTCAGTTTGACCTCAATAACTCCTGACCTAAGGTGACCTAAGACTTGAAATTTGGTGTGAAGGTGTCAAATTGATGCCCGGGAAGGTACTGAAAATTTGGCGGCGCTGCGCGCCGCCGTTTTCTTGCTATTCAGGAAAAACCACAGGGGGGGCCAAAATGGCCCCCGCCAACGGGGCGAGGGTTAATATAGGTATTTTAAAAGATAGCCAAGCTGAGAGACACCAGCATGAAAGACATAAACAGTGAATGCTCAAATAGTCATATCAGCAACTGCAATCACAATGTATTTTATGAAAAAATCCACAAGCATAGCCATGCTCTTCTCATTGTCATGCAATCAAAGAGACAGAAAGACATGTGAAAAGGCAAGACATGAGAAATGAGAATACCATTCTGATACATGAACTGATAATGATTATCAACAGTTCAATGCAACTTAAAATTAAAAATAGGTATCTACTTATGAAAAATAAATCCATTACTAACTGTTAGCAGATTGAGATATAAGAAAAAGATGGGAATGTTGGCAGTGGCCTTGTTGGGCGCTGGCTGAGTTGATCATGCAAATTCTACTTACCCATTGTAAAACCAGATCCTCAACACGATTCATGGTGCTGTAGCTGTGCTTACAATGCACCTGTTGGCTGTATTTGCCTTGAATTCCTAAGTAAAAAGCTGTAACAAAGAAAAAATGGTCTATGCATGTCAAATGATCAAACAGGTTTAATTTGCTCAAATCAAAAATGAATTGTAACAGTGAAGAATTGCCATATTCACACATTACCATTATCAGCAGTGATGTGAATGTGATGAAAATAACATAGCTTCACACTTACAGTGACTTACATGTACAGCCCTCAGCAGACTGCGTGGTAGGTATTCTTTTTTGGACAAAACCGCTAATAACTCAAAGGCTATGTTATTAGTCGGTCGGAACTCATTGCACATTGATGCGCCATGCTCCACTCCTTCGATGAGGTCTATCACTAGACAAAGTATACGCCTTGTGCGGCAATAAAATGCAAAAGTTTGTTTTGGGGGCAAATATAAACTTACGGGTTTTGCTGCCTAAGTGGATGGAAAATAAATACGATGATAATGCCAATCTAAGGTGCGGAGTCTCGCGCGTCTTGCTGTTACGATTTTCGAGTGCCCGATAGCATAGTATTCGCGTTGTTCTCGTTTTTGTCGAAAAAATAATACCTACCACGCAGTTTGCAGAGGGCTGTACAGTCAGTCTACAGATAAGTCCCCACCACCAGTGGGCAGGTATCAACCAAGCACTGCTCCTGTTCTGTTCCAACTGCCTGCTTGCGGACAGGACTTATTTTGTAGACCTCCTGTACTTTCCATGATCAAAACTTACAAAAAATGCATTCCTAATGGTGCCTTGTACCTATAGAACACTACACCAGCATCCAAACCTACAATCGGGACCCTGGAGCAATGCTGGTGAAAAGCAAAAGCTCGAGTTGAAAGTTTTCTTAGTCATCAGTCAGCCAATGATCCATCAACATAAATGCATTTCATCCCTTCAATCAACTCAGAAAACTAACACAAATGATAAGAGTAGGCACAGACACATACACAATTTTAATAACATACCAAAAGCAATAACAAAATTAGAAGACAGACATTAAAGACGGTTTTGATTGCAGAATCCGAATCCAGGATTCTGACTTCAACTTTTAGTTTTGGTTGCCCGGATGACCATTGATGATTCGTGGGTCCATTCTCATTCCAGTCTTTCATACATGCGCGTAAAGAAATGTCCTAACATTTGTCAGTAATGGAATAAAATAAATAGCACATTACCTTAAAGGAAGTTACCCCCATTACACTAAAAATCGCCCACAACCACGCACACACCCTCCACTCTCTTCCGGCGAGCCGTTTTGAATTTGGATTCTTCAAATTGAATTCAGCTGACTGCGCTCCAATTACGAAACACCTGCGCCATTTCTGACGACAAGTCTTTGTGTTCTTTTATTAGTTCGGCAGTTCCCGACGTATGTAATCAGCTTTAACATATTTTTTCACGTTCATTTTTGATCTATTTGGAAAAAGAAGTAGTCTTGGACATTTTAATTGTTTTTTAAAACCCATTGAAATTATTTAAATCGCAAAACTTTGTTTTACCTTTCCCAATCTACATCATTCCATTGTTTTGGTTCGCTCGCCCGCCCACATCGAAGAACACTCCGACGCGGGTAAACAAGCCGCGTAGTTTGAGGCCACTAAAAAAGTAATGGCACTGGGCGGTGAGATAACATTCGTGCTATTTTGATTTTTGATGGTGATATTGGTATCTTTTTCATTTTCTAGCTCAAGCTGCATAGGGGCTGGCGGCTGCTGGCTTGGCAGGTATGATATAAAATTACTCATGGGCGTTGGAACAGGTGGGCATGACCCCCCCCCCTCTTTTCAGCAGGGCTGCGGAGTCTGAATTTTCGGCGACTCCGACTCCGACTCCGACTCCGGCTTTCAAAAACCAGCTCCGACTCCGACTCCGACTCCGGGCAGAATTGTCGACTCCGACCGACTCCAACTCCCGACTCCGACTCCGCATACCTAGCAGGGCTGCGGAGTCTACAGATTTTCGGTGACTCCGGTCTCCGACTCTGACTCCGGCTCGAGTTTCTAAAATTGACTCCGACTCTGACTCCGCAGCCCTGCTTTTCAGCCATTTATTTATTATTTATTTTTTACTTTATTTTTTATTTTAATACAAAACTAAGAGCAAGAATATATATCCAATATTCCAATATTCAATATCCAATATTCATCAGTCTTCGATCAATAGAAACAGAGCGAGTTTAAAGTAATGATCTGGTCTAACAGGCCTGCCACTTGGCCTGAAAATTCTGTGTACTTCTAAGGTAAGGTAAGGTAGACTGGGTGGCTACTGGTGACATGGGCTCAAGGCCAAGGCCATGGGCTCCTGCAATACCATAGCAGGCTAAGGGGAATATGAACAGAGCATTAGCAAGAGGACAACACTGACATTGAAATAAAGGCCAAATGAAACTCCTTCGCCAAGGATAATGATTGCCTGCTGTGGAGATCAAGGGTAGTTAAAAGCAGGTGTCACACTTGTTTTTGCAACCGAGGAGAGGTGCTATACCCAGAGATGCTTCTTTATAACCAAACCAAAACTAATTGAACCTTCAACCTAATGCCTACAACCTACCATGTACCAGGATTACATATGGTGGCAATTCTGCCTACAAGTTGAAGCAGGGATTTTCTGATAGTCATGTCAAAAATAGCATACTGATGAGAACTACAGATGCTTCAGCTCAATTGATAGGCAGTGTGATAACCATATTCACTTCAAATTTCCTGTACACTCCTATAAAGTGCACATAAATAGGTAGGTACTTAGCTAATTCAATCAATTATCCAGAATAACAGCTGCATCCAAGGTTAAATTGGTCATTTGTTTTTTACTGCTGTAAATTGTAATAGGCATAATCAATAATGCACACTTAAAGTCTAGAAAGCAGAACTATTGCATATTTCATTTTTAATAATTGCATGACATGCATCAGATGCATCAAGCCATGCATGCTTATTTCTTTTGTTAATACTTTCTGTTGCAGTTGCTTGCTCAATACCCCCACTAGTTTGTTAAGCTTTATTCTGGTGCAAGGCAAAAAAGCAAAATGTTGCACTGCATCAACATCTAGTGATTTTGTCCCATGCTCAAATCCTTGCTGCAATTAAGCCAGCCACCCTGCACAGCAACCCTATATGTGATAAAGTCTCTGGCTGGCTGAGCTACTAGAATCAGGAGCACTGGGTAAACTGAGTCAGGCATAAGGTGAACTGCAAAATAACACTCATATCTCCCCTCCCACTGGAAAATGCTGGTGATTCACATTCAGTCTTAATCAGTCTTAAAGGCAGGTGCCAGGCACTGGGGCAGATGCTAGATGGACCCTGGTTAAATACTGCAGTTTTTTGGAGACTGTGAAGTTGTGAGCACCAGGATGCTGATTGTTGACATGATGTCCCGAGTAAAATCCTCTGGCATTACCTGTCCAAAATGTGAAGCATCATCCCAGTTGCCAGTGGGTTTTAGTCAACACCTGTCCATCACTAAAGCAAGATAATTCAATCTGATTCATTTCTCAAATAATTTGTGCCATTCCCATTTCCCACTCCCAGTACAACCGTCTTGGATAGCAAGTGCTGTCAGTATCATTCTTCTGAGCGCTTATAGGATGGCAAGATGACATCTCTCACACAACAGGGCTGCATCGATGAACGAGTGACAGCCGGTCATTTTAGCACGTGCAGGTCAGTATTCACGAGTTGGCCAGCGTACCCCTTTTCGACAGCGTTTGTCAAACGTTGGCAGTCAGGGTCGTACTGAGCAGCAACAGGTGCCTCTTCTAGTCGAGCGTTGGTGTTGTTGACGTCGAGCTCGGCAGTGATGGCAATACACAGTATACACCTGTGTTGCCGATCCAACTAGCGGCGAAGGGGCCAGTGTCTCCAATCTTCATCCGAAGCTGGTGCTCTGAAGGTTAGGATTTTCTATAATATCCAGTGTCTTTTACTGTTCAAAATCGTCATAAGTGGCTGGCAATCGGTTTGTTTCTGGAACAGAGTTAAGTCACATAAGAGGAAATAACACTTGTGAGTTTCACTCCAAGCGCAATTTCGATAACGGTATACCGGGATTCTCGGCGTCGCTTAAAAAGTGCGTTCCAACTTGGATTATTCGCAACTTGTCTTCCCGTTCACGCTCGGAATCAATACATATAATGACAGGGAGAGATGTGATACAGTCCGTCATGCTCAGCTGTTCCAATTTCCAGTGCAGTTATCAGCACGGAAAGCTCCACTCGCGTGCTCGAGCAGAGACGGCATGCCGCGACGGAGGAGCCTCCCAATCAGATCCAGGTGGCGGTGGCCGGGAGCGACGCCAAGCGCTCCTCGCCCTTTTCTGACTTTCCATGGATGATTTCCGACTCCGTCAGAGGCGAAGCCCACCTCTGGACGCTAGGATACGTCGCTGGAACACAGCCACTGCCAGACGGTAGTGTGGTAATGGCTCAATGGGAGATGCCTCGTCCGTCAGTTGGGCGAGGGCCAATCGGTCTGTGTCATGCCATTCAGTGGTCGCTGCCCACGTCGCTGCCCACGTCGCTGCCTATCGTCTGGGGGTGTCGTTTATCATCACTGTGCTCGTCGTCATGTTCATGCTTCATCGTCGACGTCGTCGTATTCATAGTCTGTTATTGACTTGCATGAGAGTGGGCTTATGCAAAGGCCTAACCAGAACTTGGCATCTCGCGTTACTTTGTACTTTCAAGCAAATTTCAAAGAACTCACATTTTTCTTGGTTTCTTTCAGGCCGTATTACCTCTTAAGCCATTCCAAAGCGAAAAAGAGAAAATGGAATGTTTGAAGGACCAGATCAGCATTCTACGAAGCCTTCTTCTTGTGGTAAGTAAAAGTGGTCAATCGTGATAAGTTCCGTCGTGACTTCACTTGGGCATTTCCGATCGAAACTTTACAGATAACCCAGCTGTGAGCTGACTGCCTGTATGTTTTCACCGGCACATCTCCGACCAATGTGACGCCACTCCCTGTAACTCCCCAGCCGACCGGGTGTGTGCCTCCCGCCGTGTTTCTGTACGGCCACCCGAGCACGGGAAAGACGACGGCGCTGTCAGCCGTGCTGTCAGAGTTTAGCGGTCCGCGGGCAGTGGTCAGCTGTGTCGAGTGCTACACGCCGCTACTGCTGTATCAGCTCGTCCTGCGACAGCTGTCAGGTGAGGAATACGGTCAGCTGGGAGTCCAGCGGGCGCAGAGGGTCGGGGGACAACTCTCAGGATAGATACTGGCTTTGTTACGAGTCAATGCGACACAAGGGGGAGGGGGGTCAACTGGCCGGGAGGAGAGCGGACCAGGCGGTCCGGCCTGGAAATGTTTCGGTCTGAAAAATTGTCACCGAATGTTATACTTGTGAGCATCTAGCTCGCTTTTTCGAAACATTTGGTGCTTACAGTCATAGGGTTTAAGTTGCCGTTCTTATGTGCCTTCTCAGCTACCGTCTTTGATCAGTCTTGTTTAAAATATACGTGGTTATTGGAGCTTGAATGACTGGATCTCAGTCTGAACAAACGTTTTCGTCCTGGTTTGTCTCGTTTACTGTATCGTCAGAATTTTCACGTGCCATAAATACAAGCGTAACAAAGTGCCAAATCGGTACATACACAATTTATTTCGTATTTCGCACATTCATCCACAATTTCACTTCACACTTGCACCAAGAACACATCGATATCAAATAGCCAGAGGATGGCCCGCGCTCCTGCCACACAGAGCACCACACGGGCCGGCATAGTGCCGAGCACACAGCGTTTGAACTCTGAGAGCGCGCACGAGAGCCGGCCGGCCTGCAGCTCCGAGTCGCAGCTATCCGTGTCGTCACAGCCGCCGCCGCCTCCTCCGCTGGGTCCGGGCCACAGCCAGTCCGGCCAGCGGCCGGCCGGAGTGCACGGGTCCACCGGCTCTGGCTCGCACGGGTCGCGTGCGCAGCAGTCGCAGCAGCCGCCCGGGCACAGACAGGCGCCGCGCCGACTCCGTTTCCGACACCGGCCCATCACTGGCTGCAGGTGGTGGCTGGTGGTTGACGACTAGAGGTTTCTTGATGGCCAGTGAATACTAGGATTACGTTGTATGGGTAGCTGATGGATGTGTCGTTTTTAATGATAGTTTTGTTGGATGCTTGAATAGAGTAAAACCTTCAGTGCTGATCTTCGGCAGTCGTTCGTTTTGTATTGATCCGTCTTCAACAATTCATAACATATGCTGAATTAGTTTTTAATCGTTTCGTTTCGAACACCTCTTTGCTCTCATCGGCGTCGCGCACATTTTGGAGCTCAACTGAATTTTAGTAGATCAATTTCTCACACAATATACAGTGCGTGACTTTTCGTCTTGGCGTCTCCTACGTTGGAATGGGATATCATGGCCATGATTGACCTTGGCAGTGGGCGGTTGTACGGGCGGTACAGGCCAGGCTGATATGAAGCGTAGTGTGAGCTCAAAGACGTCACCACAGCTGATCTCGTATTTAAGAAATGTATGTTTGGGTGGAACGTGACGCGCGTAGTGTGGCTTGTATTCGTTTTGCACAGTACACACTCGTATTTGAATTTCGGAAATCGGGCCAGCATCGGAGACAAGGAGGGCTTGCGTCACTTGCGTTATTGATTATACCCACCCTGTTGCAGTCTCCGTACGATGGTACAGCTACTGTTGTGTGCCCTGTTGCGATGGCGCTACTGTTGTTTGCCCGTTGCGGTCGCCAGTCTCCATGCCGCGGTGCTACTGTTGTGTGTTCTGATGCAGTCTCCGTTCCGTGATGTTAGTCTGTGCTACTGTTTTGTGCAATGTTGCAGTCTCCATACCGCGGTGCTACTGTTGTGTGTTCTGTCTCCGTCCCGTGGTGCTACTGTTGTGTGTTTAAATGCAGTCTCTATTCGTGGTGCTACTGTTGTGTGTATTGCTGCAGTCTCTATGTCGCAGTCTCTACATATGTATGTTCTGATGCAGTCTCCGTCCCGTGCTGTCAGTGCTGTGTGCTCTGTTGTAGTCTCCATACCGTTGTGCTACTGTAGTGTGTTTTGTTGCTGTCTCCGTCCCGTGTTGTTAGTGTTATGTGTTCTGTTGCAGTCTCCATACCGTGGTGCTACTGTTGTATGTTCTGACGCAGTCTCCGTCCCGTGGTGCTACTGTTGTATTTTTAAATACAGTCTATGTCGTGGTGCTACTGTTGTGTGCAATGTTGCAGTCTCCATACTGCGGTGTTACTGTTATGTGTACTGATGCGGTCTCCGTACCGTGTTGTTAGTGTAGTGTGCTCTGTTGTAGTCTCCACACCGTGGTGTTACTGTTGTGTGTTGTGCTGCGATGAGCTATTTTAGGGGTTGCTAAAAATTGTGTGCTTTTCTGATACCATCGCTGCGTTTCGGTTGTATGCAAGACTTAACATTTGTTATATTGCTTTTATATCTTTTGCAGACACAGAGAGAAAATGTGATGGAATCAGCAGCTTCGTGACCGCATTACAAGCCATCGGCACTGAACGGCCCGACGAGAATATAGCTATAGTGAGTGGCCGAAAGCAGTTATACGTTCTGAGGCTTCGGAACGATATGCCGTTTTGGCTTTGCAGTAGTCTGCCGTTCTTTTACACCGAATGTTGTTCTGTGTCTCTGACTCTATTTTGCGGCACCATTGAGCCGTGACTCATTGAGTGTTCACTGTCCCGTCAGGTGCTGGAGGGTGCCGAGAGGCTCCGTGACCTGGACGAGGGCGTGCTCTCGTCCCTGCTGCGACTACAGGAGCTCACCGGCCGCCCAGTCTGTCTCCTGCTCACCTCCAACCTGGTGTGGGATAAGTTCCAGACGCCGGGCGGTCTGCCGCAGCCACTGCTCGTCCATTTCCCGCAGTATAGCCGCGGTGAGACACGAGAGGGCAGAGGAGGTGTGTCGAACAGGCTGTGGTTGCATCACACAGACCAGTGATACTGGGGGAATTCAACCTGTGTTGTGGAAGCTGATATGCTGGTTTAAAAAATGTGTCGATTAAAAAACTAGCTTTATAGTTCTATAGTTTAATTGGCACGGTATTTGTTATTTAACGCTAGATGTGCGTCACTGACAGTCACTCGATTTCAACTGAATTATTTGTGCGTATTATTGTTCCACTTGCCAGGTCCGCAACATATTTGCCCCGCCATTGCCCCGCCGTGACTGATAGTTGCGTTCTCTGCCGACAGAGGCGCTGCAGTCGATCCTGGCGCTGGACCGGCCGTCAGACGTGGACGAACAATTCTACTCGGGCTACCTGAACCTCATCCTGTCCGTGTTCGTGGTGCCGTGCCGCAACGTGCGCGAGCTGCGCCACCTGGCGCGCGCCAGTCTGGCGCACTACCGGGCGCCAGTGCTTTCTGGCGAGGTGGCGCCCACCGACCTCCGCCGGCTCTGGCGGCACGTGGAGCCGCACCTGCGGGCGGCGCTGCGCTCCGTCTACCTGCGCGAGGCGGATAGCGCCCAGTGGCTGCGCACTCAGACTCAGCTACCCGCGGCGGCCGTCCAGCCGAGCTCGCACGACCAGCCGGGGATACTGGACGCCGCCGACCACCAGCGACTCAACACGGAGCTACCGTTCTACTCGAAATTCCTCCTGATTGCCGCCTATCTGGCCTCGTACAACCCGGCCAAGTCGGATCGGCGATTCTTTGTCAAACGCACCGGGAAGGGCGCTGGTCGACTGAAGGCTCGCCCGCCCGCCGGCGCGCGCGTGTCGGCTCTCCTAACCGGACCGAGAGCGTTCCCTCTAGACAGACTGCTGGCTATCTTCTATGTGATCGTGGAGGACCGTGTAGCTCCTACAGCCAGTATCTACTCTCAGGTGTCATCGCTGGTCACCCTGCGCATGCTCACAAGGCTCGGTGGGAGCGACAATCTGGACTCTGCCAAGTACAAGTGTCTAGTGAGCTTCGACACGGTCAAGTCGATCGCCAAGACGGTGAATTTCGAGGTGGAGTGGTACTTGTATGACTTTGTTTAAATTTTTGCTTGAAAAGCACGACTTTGATGTTTGGCTCGGTGTGGTATTCAGTGCCAATGCTTCGGAAGTGGCATGTGTAAAAAAGTGTGTCAATTTTCCAATGGCGCGCTGTCTCAGGAGACTCATTTGCCGTCCTGGGCTTCGCCGCAATGTTGTGTTGTGACTTGTGTCGCGATATCGTGGTGGCTGACGGGTTGTGATCTCGTGTTTGAGCTGCATGGGTGCGCCCTGTGATACTGCTGATGCCATACGGTCTGATTTGCCTCATCATGTTTCGGCATCTGTTTCTCATTACCTCACGATAGTCGGACGCGTCTCTCGATGCTGTTGTCGACTGCTCAGGCAGTGGAAGTGAGTGATGTTCCTTGGATCCCTTCGCTGTGATCCTGATGTCTAGCTATCGTTGAAGTAAAACAGTTAGTGTTTCTTGCCCAGTCGTGCTATCTCGGATGTTTGCGAGTCCTTTGGAGCGACACAAGCACGTTGCCCAATATTTATCGCACGATGAACTTGCGCTGTGCGTGTCCAAGTGTTTGTCGTGGCCCAGAATTGTCATCATCTGACAAATACAAACGCCTTTTTTACTCTTTTTTCATGCGAGAAACGTCTTGGGTGTGTTCCCATCTACACTATATGCAAACGCTTGCATTGCTGGGGAGTGTTTATAGTGATAAAGTGGGGCGCTAGGATGGCGGCACAGCACAGACATTCCAAAAACTGGACCTCTGACTTAAACTGCTCTCTCAAACAGAGTACTTTTATTCATTGACACATTACATACGCAAGCCAGCATACATATTCATTTTCACAATACACGTGAGATAGTAAGTAAATCGTATATCGCCGTGGGGAAGTCTCTAAGACTTCCTGCGGCGCTGTAATGACTCCCCGAAAGACTGCCAGACGGGTCAGAACCCAGAACCCATGAGGGCTGAGGCCCGGTCGGCGAGGGGGGGGGGCGGGCACACCAGTGGTGACCGCTTCGGCACCAGGAGCAAAGGGCGGTGACCATCCGTCGGAGGTCACTGACGAGATCCACAAGGCGTGCCTCCCGCAGACGGTGCGCCGAAACGTCGAGTGTCCGCCGCCTCAGAGCAGGGCTGTTCATGGGTAGGATGACTGCGGGGGTAGGTGGTGCTCGACAAGACTAATATGTCACGGGGCCAAAATAAGATCAGTGAAGAGGGCGACACGACATATTACGCTGCCATTCCCCGAACATTCGCGTGTTCAGAGGACTACCAGACTCTTCCACCCGATTCAATTACTTCAATCTGAAGACATCTATCCGAAAAATAACGACTTCCTCGGCTGCGCGTAGCCTCGAGTCTCGGTCGGCCCATGGCGTCAATGTCCCGGACCCTTAACCTCGCATATTCCACCGCAGCTCGCTGTCCACCACTGTCAACACATCTCGTTTCAACCCGCTGTTCCGGACCGAAAATCTCCACTCTCAGTCTGTCTGCCTATAGACGGCATCACCGCGAGCCAGCCGTCGTGCCACTCGAATACACACGCCTCAATAGCGTCACTGACTCTAGTTGGTTCACTTATCAACTATCACTCCAACCTGAGCATCCTCAGCTTCAGCAGTGTCGGTCACCATCGGCACTCATCACACAGAATAGCCTCCGCTGTTCTTCATTCTCATCCCTCCGTGTCCTTCCGTGACCTGTCCACTTAGTGGTCTAATGTATAACCATCTGTCTTTATTCACGCCGCCGGTCCAACTGAGGAACTTCAATCGTCCAGAGCGCCGCTGGCCAGGTCTGTCATGCGCGGGTAGCGAACCTTTTTCTGATCGAGCTGACCCTGCGCCCACAGCACCAGTTTCAGGAGCGTCTCCAGTCGGGTGGTCGGGTCGGCGGAGCTCTCCAGACGCAGAATGGCCGCGTTCAGCTCACTGGCCACCTGGTGACGAAACGGGATGAGTTAAAGTAGGCATAGTAAATCCTCACCTCAGACAATCCTCTAAGTCAAAGTGACTAAGTGCAACAAAAAATGCTTAAAAACTTAAAACGAACAAAGCCATCGAAAGTGTTTTGAATCACAGGCCAAAAAAGGCTACCGCTTACTGAAGAAAAAAAAACAACAACATACAATTATGTGATGTCGAACACCACTATCAAATTACCCAAATTTCAAGTCCGATTCAGCTCAGACCACCCCACTATTCCATCCGTTTCCACCTTCCACGTACCACCAGCCGTCCCCACATCCTCCCGCTCACCTTCTGCCTGTGTGACGAATTGAGCAGGTCCCCGAACGGAGAGTTGGCCGGGTCCTCGAACGCCAGCAGCGCCAGCGTGCGCTCCAGCTCAGCCAGCACCTCCGTGTTCTCCTCGCCCCTCTCTGCCAGACTCTGCTGCGCGAACGCCAGCGCCTCCTCGATGCGTCCGGCGCGGATGAGCTCGATGAGGTGCTGCTGCTGCAGGTGGAAGTAGAGATAGCGGTCCGAATCGAGCAGCTCCGGGTGCAGCTTGTTCACCACGTCCGTGGCGTCCGAAATACGCCCCTCGCGAATCGCGTCACGGATCCTGGACGATGGGAGAAGTGGGAGGGAGTGTTAGCATTGCATCTGTCACACGGTTACCTCATCTATGATTTTCTGTACAAAGCGAGTCAGCTCTTTGGTGATCACTTATTTTGCGGTCACTCAGGCGAATAGAATCCGAAGACAAAAACCAAAACGGTAGATATAATGACACCAAACCTTCCACAGAAATGGAACATTTTGCTGCTAGTTTTGTTTTCACTTTCTATTGTGCCTTTACGGTTCCTTATATGTTCCGAAAGACCTCTACATTATATCCTAGGATCTAGTATGACCAGCAGGCGGCGGCATGATGTCGACAATCATCGTCAGAACACCTGCTTACTTGATTCTGTCATCGAGCGAGGAGAGATTGACGCCAGCTGATACGCCCGACTCCTGCGAAAACTTCTCTGCTGCGTCCTTAAAACCCTCTGAAAATACAACGGGGGAACACACTTCGTCAGTTATAGGGTAAAACGGAAACTGTTAGAACGCAAAAAAAAGAACGCTGCAACAGACGGTGGGGAGATATCTTAATTAAAATCAACTGGATGAATGGATAGTGAATGAACGAACGGACGAACGAACGAACGAACGAACGAACGAATGAATTAATTAATTAATGAATGGACTTGTTTAACATTCTAAGCATACAACATAATATCGAAGGACTGTAGACAACTGCTAACAATTTATTCTACCGTCAACTCTTCACTATATCGATATTTAACTAATGTCCGACCACGAACTAAGTACTATCTATTGCAGGCGTTCAATGTGCAACTGTGCGAGAAGGAAGCGGCGTCGTCTCACCGGTGACGAGGTAGTTCATGATGAGCCGGTTCATGTCTGTGCGACTGACATGCAGCCGCTCCAGCCGGCCGGCCCACTCCTCCTTGGAGATGCCGCTGCCCTCCGCTCCGCCGTGCTTACTCATCCTGCTGTTCGAGGGGGAGGGGAGGGGGCAGAAGGTGGGACGGGTCACAAGCAGCCCGACGTCCTGCTAGCAAGGCCTGGCACGCTACATTCTTGCACGCGACTGGGAAGCGAGGTACCGTTCAGCTTTTGGTTGCGATGGATCAGGGATGAAATAGTGTCTTCAACGATAGGATAAGGGCGATAAGCTGTCCAAAGTTCACGCAGGAAATGATAAGTATGCACATTTCTCTGATAGTCACACCACCAGCACAGTGCTAAGCAGAGGATGCTGGATCCATACACTCATGAGTCAATTAGTGAGAAGCTAGAAGTTATAAATCATCGCCCATAGCATGAACAAGAAGTTACAGTAACTATAGCACATAGCTGCAAGTTTTTGAACAGGGAAATGCCAACAACTGCTATACATAGATGATGATAAAAGCAAGTGCCCATGAAAGTCAGGAGAGCTAGCTTAAAAGGGGTAAATTAACACCAAAATAAAGAAGGTATCTAAAACACATCATGTTCATCATAAAAACAAAACATAAATTTCGTTTTTCATGCAACATTATTGCCACAGCAGTGAGCAGTTTCTCATAACTTGATTTTTTTTTCAAGAGGACTAATTGATGACTCACCTATTTCTTTCCATTGTAAAAATTCCTTCAGCAAAAGTGCAATAAATGCTGGTATTTAGGTAAATAGAAAGACACCAACTTCAGTGTGATGTTTTCCACATCAGTATCTGCAGAAGGAAATAAATTAATCAATATTAAGATGCAACTAAGACATGTTCAGTCAGGTTTCATAAAAATCCAGGCTTACTGATATTAGATAAATGCATAGAATGGCAGGGAAAGTGACTTCATTTAATAAAGGAATTATAGAAATTGGTAATGCTGACAAATACATTACTCAGCCTGAATCATGTTATAAAAATATTTTGACACATATCATGGAATCATGCACTATATAGTTATTCTGAAAAAAATATTGCTTCGTGAAAATACTTTAGGGCAATCAGAAACTCCAAATTTTGGTGAGAAACTTCAGTAGTGGGATGATGTTCAGTAGCCCTCAGTAGAAGAATGTTGTTTTGATAGCAACAGAGCAGTTAAATTTACAGGTTATGGGGTAGCAACAGAAAGCCCAGGCTGTTACTCACGGTACTTTGGCAATCACTATTAGATGCTTCTGGCAAGGGAGGTCTGCATTTGATTGGGACTAACACAGCCAAATACATTGAGTGGAACAGACCATGTCATTGTCATCAGACCATGTCATCATGTCATTGCCGTTTATGTGGGCACACTATGGCCAAACTTGGTTTTTGGGTTCTGTCATGGTCAAGAAACTTCAAATTAGTGCATTCATTATCAGACAATGTCTAAAATGTGGGCGCTGTTCGGTCCCGTTTTTATCAGCCAGCTGTGAGTATGCTGCTGTTTCTTAGCTCCTCATTGGTCAAATTCACATGGCCTATTCATTTGACCAATGAGAGGACACGAAGCACCAGCAATAACTTCCTTATATGGGAAAACCGACAGCATGCTGATAAAAACAGCAAGGGTTCAGACTTCATATAACAGGCTGTACTTGGGTTGGGTAAGGCTGGGGCTGGTATTTACTGTTTAGGCAGGCTTGAGCCGTGCCTACCGACCGTGCCTACAGCATTATTACTTAGAGACAATTTTCAAGCATTAGTAATTAGACCAAAATAAGACAGCTCAGGGTATATTGAGTGAAAGACAGCTAGCCCATTCAAACACACGAATAAAATATATGTAACAAAGAACTCGCTAAGAACATCGAAACGCACCATCGCATTAGCATTATCACACATTTCGAGAGTATTCATTGTCTGTTTATTGATGACCTCGATGTGCTTTCAGAGAGCGGTACCCACGCAAAAGTCGCCATTCATTTGCCCATTTGCGCTCGTGTGCACTATCAACATTGCAAGCGAAAAAGAATATAGACTTAAGTTTGGTATACTGTATATTGATAAAAAATAATTTTATATGACGTCACAAATAAAATAGCTGTTTTGTTATACAGCCTGGAAATGTTATCTGATAAGATGTTTAAATTACTTTTCTGTCATTAATAGCCTCGAAAAAACATCAA